GCATAGAAATGAGATTACATACATTTAACACTAAAACAGCAGCTGGAACTATACAACCTATGCAGCACTATTTCTAATGAGTTTCTTCATTAAACATTTGTGATCACTTTCAAGCCTTACGTGGCCTCAAATCTACTAAAACACTTACAACTTAAATTGCCAAATACATTACTACAAACAATTAGTTGGGAATAACTTTTTTACAACACGGTTACCTCTTTAAGCTTGCTGTTCATTGTCAAAACAAAGTGTCTACACGTGTTTACTCACCGTCTGAACAAATTTGTTGCAAATGGCTTTCTTGTCCCCCCTAGGAGATAAGACAACAAGCACAGAAATCTGTTTGCACGCATCAAAGTCAAAATCAAGATTAATATGTGATTAATATATGATGTGAAATCAGCTAAAGGACATTACCAATCCTCTCCGATTCTGTAGACAAAGATGATGTTGTCGGACTGGCCGATAGCAATTTTGGTAGAGTCCGGTGAAAACGCCATGTCATTCACAACATAGCTGTTTTTTCCATACTGACAAAGAATTGTTGTTATTATTATTATTATTAACAACAACACACAACCTGTTTATTCATTTGATATACTAAGCTTAAATGAAGAGAGTCAAACTGGTGAGCAAGGAAACTATTTACCATCATTTCCTATCATTTTGTAATCATCAGCAGTCCTGACACAAAAGTAAATCCACACTTTAGTATGAGAAGAAAATGAAGTGTCTTGCTATGGACAGTATAAGGACAGGAATATCAAACCTGACACTACTGTTAGAAGAAGCTCTATTACAGAGATTATTTGTCAACAGTGAGTGAATTGCAAAATAAAACTTTCAAACTTTACACCATAGCACCGGACACTTCAGTATAGATAACTGCTAGCCAGGATGTAAAGAAAATCTGCGCATGCTCATGAGGATCCCAATTAAATGCAGAGTTCCCACGAAAATTGTTAAGCAGAGATAGTAAGCCAAGCTTTCCTGGCACATCTTGTGTGGATCAATTTAGTTAGTAGAGAACTCCTAATCGATAGCCACACTCATAAAAGTGGCATTTGCTGAAAGTTAATGGTTTATTTCATAAAAGTGTACTTTTTATGATATGGTTCTGTTGTTTCAAGAGTATGAGTGAAAAAACTATGTAAAACACGTTATATATATATATATATATATATATATATATATATATATATATATATATAGTTAGTTGATGTATCATTAAGTATACATGCGTTCAATAATGATACATTTTTATGTTTAAAAATTATGTTTTATAAAGTTAGTCTTTCTTTCAGGCAATGAGGCCTGTTTCTGCTACAAAACACTGCAAGGAACTCTGACGTGTCTCATTAGCATCAGTTCAGATGAAACACTTCCTAAAGATAACTAGTGGAGTATTGATCAGTTCTATAACATGATTCTTTAAGCATATTTATGCAGAATAAACCAATGATGAGCTGAGAATAAGATAAACTGTCTTATCTTCAAACAAATTGCATGCGCTTTTCAGAAATGCTATCCCTGACTGTCACTCTGTAGTTAGATCATTTTTCTTATGATACTGTCTATCCTATGGTTGTAAACCGTTTGTTATTGAGGGGCTTTTCTTTTTTTTTATGAATAATTGGGGTGAAATTCAAAGACTTCATGCATTAGCACTATAAATTAAATTGACAGTGGTCTTAGAATTTTATTTACGTTTTGCAAATACACACATAGACTCGTCTGCTCCTTTAAAACAACAGAGTCAGAGTAAAATAACTCACTATCATTATTCTTTAGCATTGCTGTATTATGTGTTGTTCCTTGTGTTTTGTATTGACGTCTGTGTCTTGAAAACGAGAGGATGCATCTCAAGGGCTTTAGACTATCATAAGAAATGTGGCTTTATGTATTAGACAACACTTGGCTAACTTCCTTCCTGTCTCACCTTAGAATCCAGGGGTTTGGTGGAGAATTTGTCTCTCCTTTCTCCCTGCTCATCATAGAGTAGCACCACTCTGTCGACAGTGCAAACAGCAAACTTGGTGTTATTCGGTGCCCAGGTCATGCACGTCACTTTGGCAGCACCCTCCTGTGAAGGCAGAGAAAACATTCAGAAGGAATAGATAACAGATGCCTTCACCCGAGCACCTCTTTGGATAGTTTTAGCCAACCTTACCCAGATGCATTACGTTATGTTCTGTAACGTTAGCGCCAAACTCCATAGAAAATGTATCTGTTTTAACAGTTACATCTAGTGTAATTTGTCCGGTGACAAAAACTGTTAAATAAGAAACACAGCTTTTGGGTATGACCGAACCTTTGAGATGCTGTCTTCACCTAATTCGGGGCTTATTAGCAGTACTTTTTTCTATCAAGTAACAGTTAACGTTAGCTAACGCACCGCAGTTGCTAGCGAACAAAATAAAGTGACTTTAAATACCTGTATTTAATATAAATGTAATACGTATCAGTAAAATCACTTACATTCCGAATTGACAAGGGGAATATAATGTTTCGTTGCAGCTTTCAAGTCATGTTATTAGATAATTAATATTACTTAGTCTACACTTTTTAACTGATGTTTCGCTCCAGCATCAGCTAGCATTAGCTAACTTAACTCACCTGGGGTGTTAATAGCGTCTTAAGATGCTTCAATTGCATTTTCAGGACGTTTTCGGGAAGCTCATACAAGGAACAAATGTTAATAGTGCTGAGATAAAGTGAACTCCTTAGATTATGGCCATTTTGTTGACCAAATCCAAGATAGCAGCTAGCAAGGAGGACATCTTTATAGTAAACATAACTGTGATCTCCTTAGTTACCGCTGGACTGGTGGTGCATTGAAGACTGTAGGAATTTTCATTCGCTCCACAAATTGTGTTTTAATTACGTTGTTTTGTTTCGACCATGGTTTTAACAAATGTTATTTTACCAAAAATGTGAGGAAAAAGAAGTGAAGAGCATTAAAGCTATTTCAGGTAACGCTAGATACCATTAGTATAACTAGGCTGCCTAGATGTGTACTTTACACCTGAAGTGGCATTTTCTAGCTAAAGACGCCACAATACTTCCGTTTTATTAGGTTATTAGCTTTTATATACAATAGCATCAATATACATCAATATACTTTACGCATGTAAATGTAGATTCAAGACTAGAATCTGTGTGTGAGTAAACTAATGTTAGAAAAGCTTTTTATACGCCTTGTGTTTCCAAAGGGATTATTTCCGTGATAATTATTTAGGAAGCTATATAATAACAAGCAGACACAAAAGTACAAAGTGCTTTATGTGTGTTAAATGTGTGGCTTCTCTACAGTCAGTAAAGTCAGAGTAGTAAATTAGTTTCGACAAATATCCATCTTCGTATGGGAAAAAGATTTCACTGGAGATGCCGGGGATTGAACCCGGGGCCTCATACATGCAAAGCATGCGCTCTACCACTGAGCTACATCCCCTTCCATATCCTGCAACATCGGGTGACACTTTTTATCTCTACAAACTCCAGAGACGTGTTCTTCAGATTGATAAAAAAGCTTTTATAATAAAGTCTAATGCGGATTGTTTTGGTAACACAATACCTATAATTAATTCTAAATATATCCCTGAAAACGGTACGGTAGCTAGATATCCCTTAATTTGTATACAAATTATAAATCAACTAATAAATGATGATGTATTATTGTGGATTAAGACGCCCTGCAGTTTATAAAGTCGTTTAAATTAGCTGTTGAGAAGTTGCTGCTGCAGGTAAATTACGCCACTCAATCTCTAGCGTGATGACGTCAACGTGAAGCCAAAATGCGTTAAGTTTCCCGACGTACCGGAAATGAGCAATTCTACCTTCAAAATCAAAGACCACGTGTGTGAAAACATGGCATTTCAGTTTCTACAGATTTTACATCACATACACTTCTAGAAACCTCGCAAAAATTAAAATACATGCACATAAATTAACAAAATAACACACAGAGCACAACACACAAAAAAGTTGATGAAGCAGCTATTAAATTTGCTTATCATGCCCTATTTAAAGAAAATCAAAGTGAATAACCTGGCAAAAGACCAACAAGAGTGATTGCAGAAGTTGCAAAGTTGGTTTAGTTTTATGTTTCACTGTGCAAACTGTGGTCTACTTCACAATCTTATTTTACATGCCTTCAACCATCATGACTATCAAAAGTACACATTCGTTTGGCATTGTAGAATAACCTCGTGAGGTTATGTTGTGATATGTCAAAAAACTATTTTTTGATTTCTTTTTTACATAACCTGACATTTGAACAACAACAAACAGTATAAACAACAAACTCAACATATGTATTTATAAATAAATAAGTAGTTTATTTGTCTTGAAAATATCTATTGTCACTGTTATCAAAGTCTGACAGGCGATATCAGCAGAGGTGAAGACTCGCGTCACATGAGAGGGACTCCACTTGACAAAATCAAAAAAGGCTTGCAACTCAACTTTGAATTCAACACCAATGACTCATGACTTCACTTGGACTTGAGCCTTTTGACTCGAATTGACTTGATACCTTCCCCAAGCCCAAATTTAAATTATCATATAAATAAAAACTGTACTCATGTACTTCATTTAATTCATGAAATTATACGACATTTGTTGTGTGAAACTGCGCCTCTGCCCTTTTCTGTACAGGTGAATGCCTTATTCAGTAAAGTGTTTTTCCTTTTTTAAGGCTTGTTCAAAATATGAAATGGTATCTAATTGGTGAAGAGCGGATTATGACTCGGACCTGCCTGTCTCCACATGGGACTTGGACTTGGACTTAAGTGCTAAGACTTGAGACTTACTTGTGTCTTGTAAAACAATGACATGGTCCCACCTCTGGCTATCAGACAGTTCATTGCTCTGAATTTGTATTCGAGTAACAGATAGTTAACGCATAAACCACAGTGGATTATCAATGTGCTCTTTATTTTGAAATGCTTCAACGGAAATGCGGTGGTTTACTGCGTGAAACTTACCGCTTCAGGCTGCGGGCCGCCTTCCACACTACTGGTGGCGTGTGTGGAACACTTTTCTCTCTCCATCCGGTTCGACTAACCGGGAAATTACTAAAAACTAAACAAGTTTTTTGTTTCAGTGTTCCCTCATTTACTCCGGATTCTTTAAGACGCTGACGGAGATCTTCTCAGCGAACAAATCTGGTGCGCATCGGTAGTTTTTGCGGAGTTTCATCTGCATCTTCTGCCTCCTTGCGCAGCGTGTGTTTCACGTGGGGGACGGACTCATCACCATTCTGAAACATCCATCAATTCCCCGGTTACAGCGGTTAGCATTTAGCTGTCCGAGGAAAAATGGCAAAGATGGCAACCTTGATCCTAGAGGACGGGACGACGTTTAAAGGCCTCCTTTTTGGTGCAAATGTGTCAGTGTCGGGAGAAGTTGGTAAGTCCGTTAAAGCTCTTTTATTACTTAAATTTATTTCTGCTACTATAGCTAGCTCATACAAAAATCTACCAGTATATTTAACTTGGCTAACCTTGTGTTAGACTTTTGGTTATATATATTTTGTGCTTGTTCTTCTTGTCCTAATGTGCCACGACGGTCTTGGAGAGTTGTATAAAGCGCCAAACCCGACGCCACCTCCCCTCTTTCCTACAGGAGCGAGTTGCCAAACTTCATGCAAACATCTGCCAATATAAATGTTGACGTTATCGTTTGGCATGCCGGGCAATCAACATGACATTTCTCGTTTTCTTGTTATTGCCACTTCCAGTTAAACCATTAAGCAGCATTTCATGTCAGCACCTGTAAAACTTGTCTTGATTGTTACCCCATGCCGTATGCTTCTGTTATCTGTGCCGAATTAAAGAAGATATCATATTGATTTTATTCTTAGCCAAACTATGATGCAATTACTTGTGTCGATGATGATGATGTCGATATCATTAAAGTGATGGATTTGTCAGTGTAGTCTGGCAGGACAAAGTACACACACAATAGAATGGAGTGTATCTCTGCTGGTATTTACTCTCACCTCTGGATCCCATAATCCAGGGCCAGTTGTATTACAGAATTACCAGTAGATTTGGACTGATAGTAGCAGACTTTAAAAAAAACACCATAAACCTGAATCAACCCTCCTATGCTTGCCTCAACAAAAAAATTCCACATATGCAGACAATTACAGCTTTTACTTAAGTTTAGGTTTAAGATAAACACATGATTTAGGATTTACTCCATCACATGAGCGTTGTGAATTTTTGTGTCAGTGACTGAGAGATACTGTTAGGGTTAAATAATTTTAGTACCACTAAAATACAACTGTTGTTTAAGGCCCCCAGGGGTCCTTGAGGGGGCTCCGGGGTGTTCCCAGCAAAAAGGGGAATGAAACATTTAAAACAAAAATCCTATCAGATGGGGGAGCCTGGGTCAAAATCTTATCAAATAGGGTCCGTGGTCAGTTTAGAGGTCCTTGATGTGAAAAGGTTTGAGAACCGCTGGAGATCACACTCTGTTAGTCAAAAACTTGGCATGAATGGAAGTATGACTGGTGTTTGCTCTGATGAATATTTTGCGTGTTCAGTGTTTCAGACGGGCATGGTAGGCTACCCCGAGGCTCTTACTGACCCATCCTACTGCAGCCAGCTCCTGACCCTCACTTACCCTCTGGTCGGCAACTATGGTGTGCCGAAGGACGAAGACGGAGAGTTTGGACTAAGCAAGGTGAGCGGTTATTTTGGGTTTAAATCTTTTTTTGATAACACTAAGCCACTGGAGTGCTTTACACAAGTGTGATAGAGGGTGTTGGAAGATGAAGAAAAATGAAGAAACTAGGTCTAAACTTTTATCTATAATACTGATGTGTTTTCTTGTGTTTTTGCCTACTCAGTGGTTTGAGTCATCAAAGATCCACACTGCGGCTCTGATAATCGGAGAGCTGTCAGAAAGTCCCAGTCACTGGAATTCAGTCAAGTCACTGGACCAGTGGCTCAAAGAGCAAGGTGTTCCTGGATTACAAGGTCAGAAAATCCAAATCTAAATATGCTAAAATGAATATTTTAATGGGAAATAAATTAATGCAGAATTAAATGCATGAAGTACTCAAACTAACTGGCTTATATTTTAATTAGAAATGGTGTAAAGGATGTTAAATTACAGTTTGGCATGTGATTTATAAAACAGTCAGAGATAATGGTAAGCTTTTTAATTTAGAATTACAGCAATCTATTGTTTCCATGTGTTCCAGGCATTGACACCCGGCGTCTGACCAAAAAGATCAGAGAGAAGGGCACCATGTTGGGGAAGCTGGTTGTGGACGGGACTCCTGAAGACAGTATTCCCTTTGATAACCCGGACCAGAAAAACCTGGTCCGGGAGGTCTCCATGAAGGTAACCCACTCAGATGCATAGTAACCTTTTAAATGAAATGATCATCAAGTTTTATAAAACATTGTGAGTGCAAAGACAGAGGCAGGGTTTGCTCAATATTACACCTCATAAGTAAACTGGGAAGTGGACCACACAGGTTTTGAAGTAAAGAAATTAAAAGGATTGATTAGATTGTTGTCATTACAGGCTACCTATTTGTAAGTTCTGGTCGTTTCCCTTCTGATTGTCTCCAGGAGCCCAGAGTATTCAACCCCAGCGGTAATTTGCGTATCACTGTGGTGGACTGTGGCATCAAATACAACCAGATCCGCTGCCTGGCTCAGAGAGGAGCCTGTGTCACTGTCGTACCCTGGGACCACCCACTGGACAGCGCAGGTCTGTTCTATACTTCTGCTGCTAATAATGGACTTTGTTTTGACTTGCTTTATTCAGAAAAGCAGCAACTTGGTTGACTGGGGCGTAAAACTCAGTGACCACTGCTTCTGAGGTGGTTTGCAAGATGTCAGCGAAACCTTTAGCAAGTTTTTACCTTGTACAGATATACGCAAAATATGGGACTATTCTTGTTTCAAGGAAATGCCATGTGGTTTTGTTAATGGTAAAACTGTGGAGATCGATTCATGAAAACTCTTGTTGAAGTTTTTTTTATAGAAGTAGGAAAAGCACCAGTACCAGAAATGTTCCAAACTCCTGACTGTGAACTTTCAGTGACTTCCTGATTAATGTTCAGAGAAGTTCTTAGATATAAAGTAGTTTATTGCTGTTTTAGATGCTGCAGATTTAAAAGTTTAATGCGGCTAATAAAGTATTGGAAAATTAGTTTCTTCATAGTCAGACGCAGGCAATAAAAGGCCGTTTCACATATATTGATAGTCCGATATGTTTGTCCAGCCTTCAGTGGTAACACACAGGTATTATGGATTTTGTTTTCTTGTCTTTTTTTAGATTTTGATGGTTTGTTCATCAGTAACGGCCCCGGGGATCCCCAGTTCTGTCAGACCACCATCAACAACGTGAGGAAGGTGGTCTGTGTGGAACGTCCCAAGCCAGTCTTCGGTATTTGCCTCGGACACCAGCTGCTCTCTCTAGTCATTGGATCAAAGACCTTCAAGATGAAGTCAGTAACTAACTTAATACTTGCACACGCCAAAATAATAATTTGTACTGAAAAGGCTCAAAACCTGTTGGGCTGTCAATGATATCTGATATTATTTTCACCACCCTCTACTGCAGTTGTGTAATTCACAACAAACTCAGTTTGTCATGAATTTCATCAGAAACCGTTTAGTTCTTATCATCTCCTTTGTGTCATTGCTGCAGTTTATTAGGAAAACATGAAGCTTTGAAACTGTGCAGAAACAATCGGTCCTCACATTGATTGATCTATTGACAGAAAAATGCCTTTAAACTAGAAGAGTGTCAAAGTTAATTAAATTTTGAGCATTCTCGTGGTTTGCACTCATGTCTGGAGCTCAGCCAGTCCCTTGCAGAGCTTATGGAAGAATCTTTTTGGGACAGGTCAAAGACAGAAATGTGCCCTCAGTGACCTGAGTCAGGGAACCTCTTCAAAACCCCTTTACACTCTCTAGAAACACACTGTCAGTCATGCCCCCACACTTTTTTTTATGGAAGAGCTGTGATGTGAACTGCAGATTTTTGCTGTTCTCAGCAGTCTGGTTCTCTCCTGTATGAGCAGTGGAGTGTTGGCCTGATCGCCCTTGTTATGAAAAAGACTAAACAAACAAGCTGGCACGAAAGACCAGGCGGGTCCGCTCCTCCACAGCCACATCTGTGGGGTTAGGGAGGTTCTCTTTCCCCTGAGACTCCACGGATGGCAGCTTTATCAGGCTCGGCATGAAGGTCATGGTGGCGAATGTTTCCATTACCCTGCTGGAATGCGGCTGGCATCTCAACAGACCAGGGGATTGTGGGATTACAGTGAAATTCAAATTACAGATAGTTCACTATCATACTTCCTTCCCACAGGTGTCTCAGTATTGGACTCTTAATACATGTTTTGTCTTTACCTGCACCTGGAAGTCCAAAGCCTCATATAAATATTTAGCTGCATTTAAAGTTGCGTCTGGTAAAAACACACTTTGTTTTCCATGTCATCACCTGCAAAAGTTTTTGAAATTAAAAGGATTTTGAAGACTTTGATGTCCGGAAATTGCATGTTTCATTTTCACATTAGCAATGTGACAAATGCATTTCTACTTTTAGTACTTTACTAAACGTTTAATAACATACGCACTGACAGGTGAAAGGAATTGTTGCACAGAACTCCCACAATGCTTTAGGATAAAGCCAAAATAATATTTTAGGTTGCTTTCGAAATGGATACACAGGTTGTTGTTGAACCTAAAATCATTTGTGGTTTGACCAAGATAGGCACATGTGGGCAGATGTTAGTGTCTTTTTCTTTATTTTTTTTTTATTGAGTTAGTAAGATGTTTTTCTTCTTACAGTGGAAACCTCTTAGATTAAACCCTGAATGACAACTACAGCTGTTACAACAATTAATGTCATTTTGAAATCTGTTCAGCTTAAAATATTTCCATGAGCAAACAGTGACTTCATTCTTAAGTCATATTAATCATAAGTGTCATATTAAAGGTGACCAACATCAACTATAACTAATACTGTTTTTGGTTAAAAGACTAGCTTACATGTCTTTTCTCTTTTTTCTCAGGTACGGTAACCGTGGCCACAACCAGCCGTGCATCCACAAGGGAACAGGTCGCTGCTTCATCACCAGTCAAAACCACGGGTTCGCTGTCGACCCCAACACGCTGCCGAAAGACTGGGATGTCCTCTTCACCAACGCCAATGATCATACCAACGAGGGCATCGTACACAACACACAACCCCTGTTCAGGTAACGGTCTCAGTGACGCTGGGTGATGTGATAATACACACCGTAAAAGCCAGAATTTAGTTGATCGATCCTTTGTGGTGCATTTTTCCAGTGTTCAGTTCCACCCAGAGCACATGGCCGGTCCCACAGATCTGGTCAGCTTGTTCGATGTCTTCCTTGACACCGTGAAAGAGCACAAGGAGGGCAAAGCTACCAAATCTGGTAACACAAACATTTTGTAATTCTCTCACTTCACCTTCTTATGTACAACACCTCTAGTAGACAACCAGCTTAATATTGTAAAGTAAAAATTGTAAAGGTGTTACAGAGGGATGCACCGAAAATAGCAAAAAAGCAAGTGATTTACTTTACCGCACCCTCTAGGGCCTCGGACCTCCCCCACCATAGTCTCTCCAAATCCTGTGGGGAAACACTGAGTAAAAAGCACATTTTGACTATTTTTAATTTATGCAATGGTAAAAATAAAATGTGTCAAAATGTGAATGTACTTTTTTCCCCCATTATATTCAGTTTCGGCTTCGGCCAAGAATTTTCATTGGGTGCATCCCTAGTGTTACAGTTCAGTTCAGTATTGTCTTCTGCTTTTACTGGTTGAAAAGAAGCTTATTACAGTTATCATATGAACAGGAGCAACAAAATTCTTGTATGTGTGATGTTTTCCAGTGAAGCAGCGTCTGCTGGACCATCTCACCTTCCCGGGATCTCCAAAGCCTGCGGAGGTATTCCGACCCAGGAAGGTCCTCATCCTGGGCTCTGGAGGACTGTCCATCGGCCAAGCTGGGGAGTTTGACTATTCTGGCTCCCAGGTCTGTCCGGAATACCTTCTGATAGGAGTAGTGCAGATATTCTGATGCAGTTGATGTAAAAATGACAAATTGGTTACTTTGTGATGCCTGGTAAATTAAGAGGACAATCAGGCCATCATTGGACTTCTGTTTGGCTGCAAAATACTTCAGTTGTGCTGTATGAGCTGTTTAGGGTTGTAAAAAGAGCAATATATGACCATGGCGTTCCTATAATGTGCCCATTTCTCGTTGTGGATACTGCACGTCCTTTAAGATTTTAAAGCTGACCACAACGTTTTTACTGCTTCTGTCATCAACATTGAAGTAGCCCCTTAGCTGATCTTGTTAAATTTTGTTTTCCAGGCAATTAAGGCTCTCAAGGAAGAGAATGTCCAGACTGTCCTGATCAACCCCAACATTGCCACTGTGCAGACCTCCAAGGGCCTGGCTGACAAAGTCTACTTCCTGCCTATCACGCCGGAGTATGTCACTCAGGTATGGATGAACTCTTTGGCTGTAATTGACTTGATGTGGTAACTTCTGTTTTAAGTAAAACGACTTAGTAATTGTAAATATCAGTACTACAATAAAAGGTTTTATTGACTTTTTCTTGTAGTACTTGTGGTACTTCTCTACAAGTACGTGTTTTTGGTTTGCAGTGTGTAAGGGGGAACCCAAGTTTGACATTTTAAAGGCTAATTGTTTCCATATGGTATAAATATTCACTTTTTTGCTCTCAGGTGATAAAGAACGAACGTCCGGACGGTGTGCTGCTGACCTTCGGTGGTCAGACCGCTCTGAACTGTGGCGTGGAGCTGACCAAGCTGGGCGTCCTGGAGAAGTATAAAGTCAAGGTTCTGGGAACACCGGTGGCCTCCATCGAGATGACAGAGGACAGGAAGATCTTTGTGGAAAAAATGGAAGAGATCAATGAACATGTTGCTCCCAGTGAAGCAGCTCTGTCTGTGGAGCAGGTGAGGAGACATTGATATATCAAAATAAACATCCCAGATTCGTTACCTCCATTCCTTCAAAACATGACTTATGTCTTTTCTCCCCAGTTTGTCTAAATGTATCTTTTTATTAACTTTGTTATAGGCAGTGGCAGCCGCAGAACGTCTGGGCTACCCTGTTCTGGTTCGTTCTGCATTCGCTCTTGGTGGTCTGGGCTCAGGCTTTGCCAACAATAAAGAGGAGTTAACCTCCCTGGTGACATCCGCCTTCGCCCACACCTCCCAGGTACTGGTGGACAAATCACTGAAAGGCTGGAAGGAGATCGAGTACGAGGTGGTCCGTGATGCCTATGACAACTGTGTCACTGTGAGTACAGTTAAAGCCCAGTCTGCTGTCATTCCCGACTGATGTCAGCATAGCTCCGTTGCCAAATCACAAATATGACTAAGTTTCTAACTAAGCTGGATTAAAATATTTTTACCTTTTCTAAACAAGTTTAAGATAAAAGCCAAACCTAAAAGGGAAAAATTTTATTTTTCCAAGTTAAGTTGTTCAGAATCACAAAGGCGAAAAGTACATTTTAAAGGTTAAGTGTATTATTATTGAGTTTAAACTGGTAGTTTGCTTCACTACAATTAATAGCATTTTATGCAGCATAGATATCTTCTGATCTCTGACAGTATCACGTGAGACTTTATTCAGTGTTTCCCATACGTTCATTTATTTGTGGCGGCCCGCCACAATATCAACGCTGACCGCCACACATTGATTTTCGATTAAAAAATTTAAAATCGTATTTGATTGCACTGTCATTCTGTGGGAAACACTTTTATTTGTTCTTCTTGTTCAGGTGTGTAATATGGAGAATATTGACCCTCTGGGCATTCATACTGGAGAATCCATTGTGGTGGCGCCAAGTCAGACGCTAAACGACTATGAATACAACATGCTGAGGAACACGGCCATCAAAGTCATCAGGCACCTCGGCATTGTAGGAGAGTGCAATATCCAGTACGCTCTTAACCCTGAGTCTGAACAGGTAAACGTGTACAGATAATGGCCTCCGTTCTTGCTAATACACACAGGCTAGTTTCCACTAGGACAGAAGTACAAACACACACGCGCGCACGGATTCTGTTATAACTTGTGTATATTCATGTTTTGCAGTACTACATCATTGAGGTGAATGCCCGTCTGTCGCGGAGTTCGGCCCTGGCCAGTAAGGCGACAGGTTATCCTTTGGCCTATGTAGCAGCTAAACTTGGCTTGGGGATCCCGCTGCCACAACTCAAGTACGTCTCTCATTTTAAGGATGAAGGATAATATGCCGAAAAAAGGCAGTACACTCAGAAGGGCTGAGGATTGAGCATGAATAGTTTTTGAGAACCAATGTGCTAAAGATGCGTCTTTGGAAGTGAGTGTTGAAAACAAGAGATTTCCTGTATTACAGTATGCTAATATTTAGTTAATCGTTGTTGTTTTTATATTGTCAATTTATATATTTATGTACATAATATTCTCTTCCTTTGCAATACATCTGCACAACACAAACCAGAGTAATACACATGTAAATATCTGCCACGTTGTTCTTTCTCTGCAAATAGTTGTATTATTTTTCTCTATTCTTTTATTATTCTTAATTTGTTTATTCCATATTTATATATTTCTACATTTATTTATCAACTGCATGTTTGTCGATTAAATATGTTTTCTTAAGGAACTCTGTTACCAACTCAACAACAGCAAACTTTGAGCCTAGTTTGGACTACTGTGTCGTGAAGGTGCCTCGCTGGGATCTCAGCAAGTTTCTCAGGGTTTCCACCACGATTGGCAGCTCCATGAAGAGTGTTGGTAAGAGGCAGTGGCCAAACTTAAATGTTATTATCATTTTCAACGCATTTTTGCCTTAATTTATAGCATACTTTGGTGCTGGAACAAGGAACCTGTGCTGCTTATAAAACTGCACTAGCACAGAACAACAACGGCAATAAGTTGATCTTCACCAGTACTTTTCTGACAGGTGAGGTGATGGCTATCGGCCGCAGCTTTGAGGAGGCCTTCCAGAAAGCTCTGAGGATGGTGGATGAGAACTGTGTTGGCTTTGACCACACCATCAAGCCTGTCTCTGAAAAGGTGAAAAAAAAGTAGTTTCTCCTCTCAATTTCCCCCTTAATCTTTTTTTGGTTTTACTATTTGTAAGCTTTGGACAGAGTTTAATGTGTCACTGTTAAATGTTGCCACTGCACCCTTTAAACAGTGACTCAATATCCTGCACTGGAGAGTCATTCAGGATCCCATTAATTATTTACACTTTATCAAATCATTCACTTATCACATGTCAGTGTGTCTTGCCAGTGGGTTGGGGTGGGTGGGTAAGTAACTGTTTGTCTTTAATAAATACAAGTTCATTTGCATTTTTTGCATTTAAGATAAAAACATTGTTTAAGCATTTCTGTGGGAAATACCCTCAGATTTCTATGAGGAAAAAGTCACTCTGTTGACTGCAGCAGCACTTTTTAAACTGTGCCAACAGATGGTGCCAATGTGCTACTGTGCCAAAAAGTGCATACTGCTGCTGGGTGGATAATACCTTGTAATGATCCAAGTCTTACTGCGTCTTTGTGTGTGTTTAAAATGATCATCTTCTACTGTTACTGTGGCTGATGTCGTGTTACCAAATTACATTAGCCAGATTCTCATATTTGGCAAATAACCAGCACCACGATAGTCAATTAAGATGTGTTATCATACCTTGCCCTTGCCTTCTCTGCTCACCAGGAGTTGCAGACTCCTACAGATAAGCGTATCTTTGTTTTGGCGGCGGCATTCAGAGCCGGCTACACGGTGGACCAGCTGTACGAGCTCACCAAGATCGACCGCTGGTTCCTGCACAAGATGAAGAACATCGCTGACCACGAGCGACTGCTGGAGACATACAACCAGGTAAGGCTGATAACTGCTTTAACATTAGCAGCAGTACCTGGAAAACCTGGAAAACAGTTGACCAAGTTTCCAGCCATTGCAAAACACATGGAAAAGGAGAGAACATGCATAATGTCCTGCAAAATCTTGTGTTGTCCTGGAACATTATGTTGCGGTTGCTTGGTTATGTTGTGAAAACACCCCTTAGTCATGTCACATGGTTACGCAGGTTGGCTATTGTTGGATGATATTAATTCAAGTGATCGAAACTGTCAATAATTGAAGTTGTATTATCCTCCAAAGGTAAATATTAGTCACTGCTTGATGGTATCTGTGGTAGTTTTGATTAGGTTTATAGATTAATGTTTTCTTCTCAGCTTATTTTAAGCTATTGCACATCTTAAAAACAGACTTCTGCAGAGAGGAACATATTAGTGTATAACGTGATCCCTGTCTGTCTTAACAGCTAGATCATCACTGAAAAGGTCCTGGAAAATGATCTCTGGTTAAAAAAATGGGAACCCTCTTCTTGATATTTCATGTTAACATTGTTCTTTCTACCAGGATGAGAGTGCCATGCCTCCAGAGGTGATGAGAAAGGCCAAACAGCTTGGCTTCTCAGACAAGCAGATAGCATTAGCTGTACAGAGGTGAGTGGGAAAGCCCATACGGGAGACACGTTACCTGATCATTTTTAGGCTTGTTGCATTGAGTTGGCAGCCCAAATTAATTTCTAGACAACAATAAAAAAAGGTGGTTTTCTCTAACTATTTTTTTGATTCTGGACTGTCCTCATTTCCCCCCCGCCTACAGCACAGAGCTTGTTGTGAGAAAGCTGCGTCACGATTGGTCGATCCTACCTGTAGTGAAGCAGATTGACACGGTGGCCGCTGAATGGCCCGCCCACACAAACTACCTGTACTTGACCTACCACGGTACAGAGAACGACCTGCTCTTCAACGATCAGCACGTCATGGTCATCGGCTCGGGTGTGTACCGCATTGGCAGCAGTGTGGAATTTGATTGGTGTGCCGTCGGGTGCATCACGGAGCTCAGGAAGGTAAGTCCTACATGATCTCATCCTGCAGACTGTTGATTTTAAATTTAAGCTTAATGTCTGTGCATGTTAATGATTGAAATGAAAGTGAGGGGTAGTTTTTCCTTTTTTGTGATGCTTTTTTGAATGTAGCACACAATTTTTTTTTTTTTTTATCAATACCACTGAAATAATTCAACAAGTTCTCACTGTTCCATTGCAATTAAACAACATGTAATGATTATTTTCATTTTAAATTATGTAATTAAAAAAGAATCTGTGAAATTTTAATAAAATGCTGATTACTTGTGCTACTAATACTAATTCTATTTTTAAATCGAAAAACTTATTTTTTAAAATTTGTATAGATTTTAAAATGCATTTTAAAAAGGCTTTTGAAATTACTTTATTCCATTTGCTAACATATCTGTCAGGTAACTCCATCTCTCAACATTTCTATTTTAACTACAGTTTAAAAACACATGCGGCAGGTGTCTAGGTGACAGTGACAGATGTAACAGGCCTGCTCTTCATCTCTGACCTGATGTGGTGGAGGATGAGAGAGGCTCTTTCTGCTCTAAAACTCTCAGCCCTGAAAATAATAGCTGGTTAATGAAAAGTCTTGTTACACCTCGTTGGACCTTAATTATTAAATACTGCTGCAGCCTACCTTAGTGATTTTTGTTTTTTTTGATTTTTTTTTCACTTGATGATTTAAAAATTGACCTGTGCAGCTTTAGATTTTATACTTGATTGCTAGAAAGTTATTTTGAAATACTTCTTGTCATGAAAATAAGAGGATGCCTCACATTTTTATGTGGCTGGAGGCCAGTTAACCAAATGTTATATTAAAACAATGTTGATTCATGTTGTCACATTTATTGCAGATGGGTTATAAGACCATCATGGTGAATTACAACCCAGAGACGGTCAGCACAGACTACGACATGTGTAACCGCCTCTACTTTGATGAGATCTCCTTTGAGGTAAGATTTTCACACTAATTAATAACTAATAACATTAATTACTATCTTAACTTCAGATCTCGAAAAACAAATAGTGAGATTTTGTGTTTTAACTTGATTTAGGACACAATTCATGGATGTTACTCTGGATAGATTTAGCTGTCCTTAAACATTTTACAGTGTTATGCTGTTCAACATTGCTGTATTATTAACTTGTGGAGAGGGTCTCAACAAAAAGCACATTATGAGCTTTATCAGAGTGTACTAATTACAGTTTTGAGGTTAGTAAGTGTCCCATACATATCTCAGGTGGTGATGGATATCTATGAGAAGGAAAACCCAGAGGGAGTGATCCTCTCTATGGGAGGCCAGCTGCCCAACAACATCGCCATGTCGCTGCACCGTCAGCAGTGCCGCATCTTGGGGACTTCACCCGAGTTCATCGACAGTGCCGAGAACAGGTTCAAGTTCTCCCGAATGCTGGACACCATCGGAATCAGCCAGCCACAGTGGAAGGAGCTCTCTGACACCGAGGTACGATCAATTGGGTTTATACCAGAGTATGTTTTGAAATATCTCCAAACCAAAGTGTTTGGACGCCAAAATCAAAATAAAAAATAGTTTGGGGTCTTTTTCTGCATATTGAGGAAGACAAGTTTTTGTTTTTATCAAAATGTTTCCTTGTCCTTCACATCTATTCCCCGTTTCTTTTTTTCCCTCCAGTCTGCTATGAAGTTTTGTGAGACTGTGGGTTATCCCTGCCTGGTTCGTCCTTCCTACGTTCTCAGCGGAGCAGCCATGAACGTCGCCTACAGTGACAGCGACCTCGAGAAATACCTGAGTAGCGCTGTAGCTGTGTCCAAGGAACACCCTGTTGTCATCTCCAAATTTATACAGGAGGCCAAGGTTAGATAATAAAACTTGCGTTAGTTGAAGTTGAGCTCTAAGATTATCTGTAAGAATCACTTAATTTACCCTAGCTTCATTAAATCAGGTCAGCTAGTTCTCAGGGTCTGTGTGACATAAAAAGAGGTCAATGTATCTGTAATATTTTTGCATTTTCCAGGAGATAGACGTGGATGCTGTAGCCTGTGATGGGGTAGTGATGGCCATCGCAGTGTCTGAACATGTGGAGAATGCCGGCGTTCACTCTGGTGATGCCACACTGGTGACACCACCGCAGGACCTCAATCAGAAGACGATGGAGAGGATCAAGATGATCGTCCATGCCATCGGCCAGGAGCTGCAGGTCACTGGACCTTTCAACCTGCAGCTGATTGCCAAGGTGAGATTCATTCTGAAAGTTCTGCCATGTTGGTACAGATTTTAATTATTAGTAGTATTATTATTAAGTCTTTTAACATTTTCTTTTATCTGCTGTTTTTATGGATTGCCTGTGAAGGACAAAAAATAGCCTCAGCAGCGTTGGTAAAATCTGCCCCAAGATCAATGGAGTTTAGCTGACAGACCTGAGCTCCCTTTGGGGGGGAAAAAGGGGGGGCTCCAGAAGGCTAGACAAGTCATTGGTCATTCTGTCCACGTTCTTAGTCAGGAATTCTGTTTAATGCCCTCAGGACGGTGCTACCCCTTTGCTCTGGTTCCCAAATGCATGACGTTATATGATGATATTGACAGGGTTTCTGAATGTTTGATTGATTGTAGTTGTTGTTTTATCTTGTTTGATACAATTGGCAGGCTAAAACTCTAAATGGCCACCCACATCTTAGATTTGTGCACCAACAAATTAAAAATTGGGGAGCTCCCCACATAGCTATGTAGCTGGCGAGCTACATCTGTGAAAAAAATATATTTTTGTGAGGATGCTTATGTGCAACCAATCAATCTTCCTTTTAACAAATATGAAACGTTTATCATGCTGTAGCAGACACACAGTGGTTTTATTTGTAAGTATATATTGTACGAAACGGACAAGGAAGGTCACAGAAAAATATAAAATATAACTAAAGTATTTGGGTTTTCTCTGTTAACCGCTGTGGTGATGCTGTGCTTCTTCTGCCAGGATGACCAACTGAAGGTGATCGAGTGCAACGTCCGAGTCTCCCGCTCCTTCCCCTTTATATCCAAGACCCTGGGTGTTGACCTGGTTGCAATGGCAACTCAAGTCATTGTGGGGGAGAACGTGGAGCCTGTGGGCCTAATGAGAGGAAAAGGGATTGTAGGAGTCAAGGTAACTAAGCTGACTCAAAACCAGTGTTTTTCACTTGGTAGCCGCCTCTAATGACAACCTTTAACATGAATCTTCTAACCGTGTGCCGCATGTCCTTTCAGGTTCCTCAGTTTTCATTCTCTCGGCTGGCCGGAGCTGATGTGGTGCTCGGGGTGGAGATGACCAGCACTGGTGAGGTGGCCTGTTTTGGGGAGAACAGATACGAAGCTTACCTTAAAGCCATGCTCTCCACAGGCTTCAAGATCCCCAAAAAGAACATCCTGCTCTCCATTGGCAGCTACAAGGTACAAAGTTTGTATTCATGGTTTTTGAGCTGCCATTGTTCATTGTTTATTTGAATATTATTAGTTGTTACTTTAGCAACAACTATGCTGGGGTTTGTTTACATACAATAATTAAAGGGGTACTTTACGTTTCTTATCCAATACACTTTTTGTTAAATTCTGCGAATATTTCCTCATGGGTCGGTAGCTCTGTTTTTCGTGTGCTCCGGTTTCCCTATACAGCCCTGAGTCTGTAAATTGAGCACAAACAAAGCTGCTGGGAGCGAGCAGCAGCTCGTTTGTTTATCAACAAACTCTCTGCAGAATCGCATAGTGTCCCTTTAAAACAGTTACAGTATCGCCATTACACCCAACACAATTATTAAGGGGGATGATTAGATGGCCAGATGGTGAACGCCAAGATGGGAATTTTGCCATGACACCAGGGAACCCCCTACTGTTTGTGACGAGTGTCATGGGATGTTTAATGACCACAGTGAGTTGGGACCTTGGTGTAACGTCTCAATCGAAGGACGGCAGCTCCTACAGCGTCCCCATCACTGCACTGCGGCATTGGACCTGATTATTGGGACCAGAGGGAAGACTGACCCCTACTGGCCCACCAACACCACTTCAAGCAGCAACTTAGTGTTCCCAGTTCCCATCCAGTTACAGGCCAAGCCCAAACCTGCTTAGCTTCAGTCAATCAGCAGTAGCAGGGGTTAACATTAGTATGGCTGCTGGTAATTTCACACATAACAAAGCAAGGAGAATATATTCAGTTAAGGTCAAATGGTTAGGCCATAATGAATTAAGGCCAATAGAAACATTTCTAGTGCTGAAAACAGCTGAAAAATTAAGAATCATTGACTGTTTAGTGGTAAATTAATTGGTTCATAATTTGTATTAATCCAGTCCTTTTTTCTCATTTAAGAAAATCTTATTGTTAACATTTTTGTGTATTTACAGAACAAGAGTGAGCTGCTGCCCACCGTGCAGGCTCTGGAGTCTCTGGGTTATGACCTGTACGCCAGTCTGGGTACTGCAGATTTCTACACAGAACATGGAGTCAAGGTGACAAATAAAAAGCCTGTTTTATATTTTTGATTTATTTCATCACACAAGCAGTCATCACTTAATAGTGGAAAAGTATAACAGTAAATTAGGTAATCAAGACATTCCACAGCGAATCAATTTAGTTCCAACGTTTAATTTTAGACATCTGTCAATCCAGTTAATAACAGTAAGGATTGTTGTCTGACCTTTTTTGGCTAACTTCTCCTGTTTCAGGTGACAGCAGTGGACTGGCCTTTTGAGGAGGAGGAAGACAGTGAGTGTCCCACTAAAGAGAAGCAGCGCAGCATCATGAACTACTTGGAGGAAAACCACTTTGATCTTGTCATCAACCTCTCCATGAGGAACAGCGGAGGTCGCAGGCTCTCCTCCTTTGTCACCAAAGGCTACAGGACGAGACGCATGGCCATCGACTACTCTGTCCCGCTCATCATCGATATCAAGTGCACCAAGCTCTTTGTCCAGGTCAGACATCGTTTTGTTTGTGCTTGATTTTTTAATTCTTAGTACTGCTAAATCTTTAAGTCTTGTACTTGAAAACTAGAATGACAACATAAGCAATGCGTATTGATGTGTTTTCAGGCTCTTCGTCAGATTGGTAGGACTCCACCAGTGAAAACTCACATTGACTGCATGACGTCCCAGACGCTGGTCCGTCTGCCCGGTGAGTCACTGCAACCAGCAGAAGCAACTCTTGATTGATGCTCTGATCATTTTTGTGCGGCTAAAAAAATTTAGTAATAATTACCTTTTTTCCCTTTTGGTATCTTTTTTTTTTTTTTTCATTTGTAACAAGGCAACTAATTAGATGGCACAACAAAAATAGATAACCTTTAAGATTAATGTCTCTTCATATGGTGAAGCTTAATTACATTATCTTGCCATCACTGCCAGCTGAATATTGTTTTAAACAACATTAATAAATAAGACTAATAGTAAAACTGGAAGGTAAACATATTTTTATCCTAACTACAAAAGAGGATTTAACATTCACAGTAACATCAAATCACTGTGTGTGTTTAGATCCACTCTAATATCTTGGTTATTATTAGACTTTTGAAGTATACCTTTTCTGTTTTGTGCATGTTAACATGCTGGTTGCAGGAACCTGGATATTGTTAGAATGATGTATACGGAGAAATTAATAACCTTGTTACTTTATGTTCATTGTAAAAGTTCTATCCCACATTTGATCACAACCAGGATAGAAGTAATTGTACTTATTGTCGAGTGAAACAAATCTTTCCTTTGTGACTGATTCTTAGGTCTGATCGATGTGCATGTTCACTTACGGGAGCCTGGTGCCACACATAAGGAGGACTTCTCCTCTGGTACAGCAGCTGCTCTGGCGGGAGGAGTGACCTTGGTGTGTGCGATGCCCAACACCTCCCCTGCCATCACAGACCCCAGCACTCTGGCTCTGGTACAGAAGGTACGACCAGATTTTCTTTCTTGCTTGATCACGATTGTTTGTTTCTGTCAGTTGAATCATGACTTATGAGCCTGCTCCAAATGGCGAGGCAGTGAGCGAAATTGAGTGTTTATGCTCTGGGTGTAGCGAGTCAATACACAAGTCTGATAAAGATAAATTGAATGTTAATCTAATGTCAGTAATGTCTTTGTTTCAAATCTGTTTATTTGATCATGGCGTTCTTGACAATGACAGACCTTCACAGAAGTTAACTGAAGTAAAATGAAAAGTGAATGTTGGGTTATTTTGTATGATCAGCTGGCCAAAGCGGGCTGCCGCTGTGACTACGCCCTGTATGTGGGCGCTGCTTCAGACAATGCAGCTGTCCTGCCGTCCATCGCTAGCCAGGCTGCCGGCCTGAAGATGTACCTGAACGACACGTACTCGACCCTCAAGATGGACAACGTCTCTCTCTGGATGGAGGTAGGCTGAGGCGCAGTATAAAACTCTTTATTCATTTAACATGTAGTTGAACCTTCTTCAATAGTTTAAATTCATCCTAAAATGCAAAAAACAGAACATAAAGTTTCTTAAAATGAGTTTGCTGTCATTTTAGTTTTGTAGGACACTTCTAAACCAATAAGGAAATGAGTGTCAAGATGTTTTGCGTTGTTGAGTTATCTATTGGTTACATTATTCAGAAAATTAAATTAAGTAATTTGTCACCTGGGCAAAGATTTTGACTTTGTAGTTTGGAAAGAGTTTTTATTAGAGTTTTTTTATTTAGGCGACCAGTAGAAAACTTTCCCACCCTATACACTAAACTAACTGTCTGGTTCTGTATGAAGCACTTTGAGAAGTGGCCCAAGCAGATGCCCATCGTCGCTCACGCTGAGAAGCAGACGGTGGCTGCGATCCTCATGGTGGCTCAGCTCTACCAGCGGCCAGTCCACATCTGCCACGTGGCCAAGAAGGAGGAGGTAAAATAATGTTTTTAAATGTTAAACAATCAGTGCTTCACACACATCCTCATAATGCTATAACCCATACTTTATGTTGCTTTCAATACCTTCACCAATGTATGTTTTAGATTTTGTCTGCAGTATTGAATACCGAAGACATTTCGCTGCTGCCCAGTGTCCCCGTGGGAATTATTAAATTTCTTTCCTCTTCTTCAGATCCTGATAATCCGAGCAGCGAAGCAGAAGGGTATCCAGGTCACGTGTGAGGTGGCGCCTCATCACCTCTTCCTTTGTGAGGAAAATGTGGCAGAGATCGGTGATGGCCGAGCGCAGGTCCGACCCACGCTGGGAACACTTGAGGACATGGAGGCTCTCTGGGAAAACCTGGACATCATTGACTGCTTCGCCACAGACCACGGTCTGTAACCAGTCTGATAATTAATCTGTTTTATTGAAGCAAGGGTTAGATTTATCATTATTTTTAAGAAGAGACTACATGTTTTAAACTGTTTTTGTGTTTCTAGCTCCCCACTCTCTAGAGGAGAAGAACAGCGATCATCCCCCTCCAGGTTACCCCGGCCTGGAGACGATGCTGCCGCTGCTGCTGACCGCTGTCAGTGATGGGCGTCTTACTCTGGATGATATTATCAGGCGTCTTTATGACAACCCTCGCAAGATCTTCAACCTGCCTGTCCAAGACAACACCTATGTGGAGGTAAAGACATAAACACATGATGATGATAAACATGATTTATATGTAGTGATCACTACTTATCTATTTATCTTTATATTATTACTTATGTCAGTTTTCATGCTGGAATTGATGCTAAACTGTCACACAATTCTATGCTTCATAAGTAATCTAACAAATAATGCTGACACTTCATTATTAATTACTTAATCTCTTTGTCTTTCAGGTGGACTTGGAGCAGGAGTGGGTGATTCCTCAGGCCATGCAATTCACTAAGTCAAAGTGGACACCTTTCCAGGGTCTGAAGGTGAAGGGTAAAGTCCGCCGCGTGGTTCTTCGAGGAGAGGTGGCCTACATCGATGGCCAGGTCAGCAACGTCACACATGCTTATTAATTTGTGGCAGCCACTTTGTGCTTACAAGCCAGATGGGGCTGTTTTAAACTATATCTTTTATGAGTTATGGTGAAGGTTTATCACTAGAGTGGATATTCTACTATTTGCTACGGTTATTGTGGGTCTGTTGTTAGGAATTAAAACTTCAAATTAAAATTTTTGAAATTACAGTTGCACACAAGTCTTTACTTGCTCTCCCTGCTTTCCAATCTTTTGGTTCTTAATGTGACTTTTGGTCCATAGCAGTGCTCATGTTTGCACGCAGGAGCTTGGAAATTGGAAAACTGCATAATTTTATATTTAATACCTGTACCTACCCAAAAATAATTGTATGTAAGAATTTAATTTGTATGTATTATGTAATTTGATTGGCTGTGTGACATTGATGTCTTTAAAAGCTGTCGTTCTTTCTCTCTCTCACAGGTGTTGGTACCTCCAGGTTATGGTGAAGACGTGAAGACCTGGCCCACAGCTTCCATCCTTCCTCTTGAACCTGCTAAAGAGAGTCCGAGGGTACTCAAAGTGGAAAAACTACTAATACCAAAAAAGATAACCGTAATACAAACCGAATAATTCAATGCAAATAATAGATGTATTCTAGTCTGGAGCACATATGGTAATAAGTCCAATATACTAGTCTGAAGTGTGCATGTGTACGATAAAACTCATACAGCAGTCAACCCAAACAAACTTGTTTTTTCAAATAGCTAATTATCTAATATTCTGATTAATATCCACAGTTAACATGTAGATGAAGCTCCTTTGCATTTATTGTAAGATGTGTATATTTCCTGCCCTTGACTTGTTTAGACTCCAGAGCACCCGCGTCCTACTCCTCCCCGGGAAGGCTCGGTCCGAACCCGAGCGCCCAGCCCTCGACGATCAGTAGGGGAGAGCCGCTACATGCTGCCGCCACGCATCCACCGCGCCTCTGATCCTGGACTACCACCAGGTACTACGACTCCCATAAGTTAGTGTATACTTGCAGTGTAGTGAGAAAACAAAGCTTGTGATTGGACATAAACAGTTCTCTCTTGTGCAAAACGTAAGAGGCCTGTAGTGCACTACAGCTTAAAATAATGCCTGGTTTTTATAAATGTTTTAGCACAATGTGTCTTCTTTCTGATAAATTAAACCACCTGTGCAAAACTGTAACTGTTAAGAGGTGGAAATAGACTTAACCTTTTAAATGTAGTATGTACGGTATTATACTGTATTCCTCTATTTAACTGATACAATTAATTGGTGCTTTGTGTCACTGTGCTCTCCGCAGAGATGGTTATGTTCCCACCAGCTGGTGTTGGGGATGGTTACAGCCACCCTCCTCCTCTGTCCAGGTTGTTTTCCCCTCAGTCAGGACCAGGACAGATGCTTGCTGGACCGGTGTCCCACTTCCAGACCTCTCCTCTGCTGCACCCGCTGGTCGGCCAGCACATCCTGTCTGTCAGGCAGTTCAGCAAAGAGCAGGTACACTGACAAACAAACAGAGCTGATGAGCCACCTTTATATTAACTCACAAAATAAAAGAACAACATTTTGATACACTGTATTGTGTTTTCAGTTTGTGTATTTTTTTGTTTTGTTTTTTAGATCTCACACCTTTTTAATGTTGCCCACACTTTGCGTTTGTTGGTTCAGAAGGAACGAAGCCTGGACATCCTGAAAGTAGGTCCTCCTCACAGATGTTATTTCTCATTGTTGCATTACAAATGCAAGAATACTTGCGGTGGTGTTTTAAGTTAGTATATTCCTGTGAATGCATGTGAGACTCCACAGGCTGTGAAAACAGAGCAAGCATTAGTGTTTTGGTGGCCCTAAACAAAATCGTGTTTGGGCAATACACACAAGTTAACACAAACTTCCACAGCTCTAATACATCCTGTCTGAAAGTAGTTTAGTACTCCTCTGTCTCAATCCCATCTCAAAAACTAGCGCCTTGTTCCTCACTGTCCAGGGTAAGGTGATGGCGTCCATGTTCTATGAAGTCAGCACTCGCACCAGCAGCTCCTTCGCGGCGGCCATGCAGCGTCTGGGCGGCTCAGTCGTCCACTTCAGTGAATCCACCTCATCGACACAGAAAGGAGAATCTCTGGCGGACTCTGTCCAGACCATGAGCTGCTACGCTGACGTTCTGGTGCTCCGACACCCAACACCTGGAGCTGTAGAGGTGGGTTTCAGCTGTGAACGATCCCTACGAATTTATGCTTAGCCCCTCTGTAAAGTCAAGCCACAGTTAATGGACCTTAATGCCACTTGCTGCTGTTTGTAAAACGAATAAAATGACATTTAGGAGATGCTAGAGATCTATTATTATTATCTAAAATAAAAGGGCATAGTAAAATGTCTTGTGCTGGCTTAGGACAGATTTTAAGATCCTGTTACTCTATCTAGTCTATAAATCTCTCCATGTACTCATTGATATGCTCCCAAGATATGACCCTCTTAAAGCTCACATAACCCCAAAGTGTCTGCTATTAACTGAACCAAAGACTATTGTGACTAAAAGTGAAGCGCCTTTTTACAATATGGACCCAAACTCAAGAATATTGTCCCCCTGAATCTGAAAGCAACAACATCAAGTCAAGTCCCTGTTAAATAAAATTACACTTTTTAGGTTACTCTTAAACTTAGGCAAGGCAGGTTTATTTGTATAGCACATTTCACCAACATGGCAATTCAAAGTGCAACCAAGGGAAATATAAAAAAGGCATTTAAATACATTTAAAAAAGTAGGGCTTGAGCCTGATTCGACTGTCAATCTCATAGTCGAAGCTTTGCAGCAAAACTTCTTTTGCGAAATGGGGGTGCTCAATGTCTGACGCACATGCAGTTGTCGGACACACTGCATGCATGCACAACTCTGCACAAGACCGGTGAATGGCAGGCGAGCAGAGAGAAAAAATAATCTTTAGTTTAGCTGTAAATGTACAGTGAAAGTTACTGACATTAGTCACTAACTAATAGAGTCTGCAGCTTCTCAAGGTTAAAGCGGACCTACCATTTGAATCCCTTTTGTTTTCTTAAAGAATTGTGGGGAAGGTATACAGTACATACTGGGTGGAACATTTTCCAGTTCCTCTCTGGTGGACAAACTATGGATGGAAACTCTTTTTTTCCTTTTTGATTACCTCAGATGCATTTCATTTTTTGTTTTGTTGTTCTCTTTTATTAAAGGCAGTTATGTAGACACTTGTCAGACAAAATAATCTCAGCTCAAGGTCCACTTACTAGCTTTCGACTGCATCAGTGAATAGAACTGGCTGAAGTATTAAATCTATCAGCATCTCTAACAATCAAATGTAGAAACAAGGTGCAGCTGAACAAGACCTGAGTAACATTTTTTTATCCAAAATAATGAATTCTACAAATACTTTATATCTACAATTATAGTATGTTTTCTATGATCACATAGCTTTAATTTCCATTACCGGACGATTTTCAGTGTTTTTATCTTTATGTAACTCGTCTCCCTCTGTGGCGTTCAGAGTGCATCTCGTCATTGCCGTAAGCCTGTGATAAATGCTGGAGATGGTGTGGGGGAGCATCCAACCCAGGCGCTGCTGGACGTCTTCACCATCAGAGAGGAGCTGGGGACGGTCAACGGCATGACGGTGAGGGATATTAAGACCATTTAAGACCAAATGAACTGTCCTTTACTTTTAAATCCTGATCCTTATGTAAATAGTTGTTGTAAATAGTAAATGGACTGTAGCTGTATAGCGCTTTTCTAGTCTTCCGAACACTCAATTACTCAATTGCTTTATATGACGTGTCATATTTACACACATTCATACAATGATGGCAGCAAGGTGGCAACTACTCGTCAGAAAGGAACAAATCATTCACACTAGGGCTGCTGATCAGGATCATTTTGGTCAAGATCATTATTAAACACGATTACTCATTAACTAAGGAAACATCATTCATTTGTTGAACTTTTAACACTGAACGCTTCATTTTAAGAAATTAATATATATGTATTACCCCCAAAAATCCAAAAGAGCCCTTGAAATAAGAAATAGTAATCCAACATTATCAACTTTATCATCTTAAGAGCACAAGAGTATGACAGGAGCTCAGTGTTTCCCCCACATTGACTTCTTTAGGGGGTGGGATTTACATAACGCTGAAATTCCCTTGCGGTGTTCTGTTGGAAGATGAAGTGACTTAAACCCAACAGTAAGGAATGCAGAATGCAAAATGCTGCAGGTTTAGGCCAATAATAGTGACTATCAAGTTGTAACAGTTTTAATCCCTGGTCATCTTGGCTCGAGCTGAGCTAAACATGCCACAGCCTGGCTGAGAGTTTGGGCTTTTAGGGAGAGGTGGGAGCCACCCCTGTAAAGAAAAGGGATGCGCTGTATTTATAAGACAAAAGGAGAACATCATTGCGAAAGAGAGTGCTGCTCGATAATCTCTTTATCTTGTTTTCATAATCATTGGAAGCCAAAGTAGTAATTTGAAAATAAAACTTAATAATAATTGCGCAAGGGAGCAATTTGGGGTTAGGTTTCTTGGCCAAGGACACTACAACACATATCCAACTTCTAGTTTTTAGTTTGATTGTTGTAGACCAGCTGCCGCTCTAACTCAGTCAAAAACATGTTAAAGAAAATATTCATATCATGTTTTCACGTGTGTTTTCTCAGATAACCATGGTTGGGGATCTGAAACATGGCCGCACGGTTCATTCTCTCGCTAAACTGCTGACCCAGTACCGTATCACCCTGCGCTACGTGGCTCCCAAGAACCTCCACATGCCAGCAGAGATCATCAGCTACGTGGCCTCCAAGGGCATCAAACAGGTGGGGAAACGCATTGATGCATTTCTGTTTCACAAAAGCGTTTCTTTATACAATTTTTATATTCTAAATAAAATATTCTTGAATGTTATTATTAGTTTGACAAAACAAATTATAGACTAAATATTTTTTACCTGTTTGCAGGAGGAGTTTGACAGTATTGAGGAAGCTCTGCCTGAGACCGACGTCCTCTACATGACAAGGATCCAGAAGGAGAGGTTTGCAACTGAGGAGGAGTACAAGGCTGTAAGTACTCATGTTTGAATTCATCAGCTGCCCCCTATCTGCCCCCCACCAGATAAATATAGCAGTTAACTTTCAGCGGTGTGACGGTATGGAGTATGAAATTGAGACCATGTAGTAGTTTTAGAAATACTACAACTCCTACGTGTAAGCTAGTATTTCAAGTGTTTATCAGGGTGTCAACACCAGTTGTGCCTAGTGGTACAGTGTGTGTCGGGGTTTGAATGCAGTTGTTTAAAAACTTGTGAATGGGGCTTGTTTAAGCTAAATTGAAGCGTTAAGTTGCTCTTCAAATATTTCACAATGTAAACGTTTCCCATGTATATAAAGCCCATTGAGCTGAATTGTACTTTGTTTGCTTATTGACGTCTGATAAATAAGAATTGAATATCGTTAACAAAAGTTGTGAAGTGTTTTCTGACAGAACCCTTGCGTATATGACTTATTTTCTTTCTCAGTGTTTTGGCCAGTTCATCCTCACCCCTCACATCATGACTGTAGCCAAAAAGAAGATGGTAGTGATGCATCCGCTGCCCAGAGTCAATGAAATCAGGTAAGGCCCAGTCAGCACCATTATATACACTCTCACAGAATTGGCTGAAACTCCCGGACCTGTCATCTCTCAGAAATTTTTAATGTTTAGCCTACCTTCCTATGAGCACTTGAATGTACCAAAAATGAAATATTTTCAAATTCATTCTGTTTTTATTTTTATTTTTTCTGGCATTTTCAACTTTATTAGAGAGGACAGTATTAGAGTTAGACCGGAAACTAGCGTAGAGAGAAATACAACACACAGGTCCCCGCCTGGAATTCAACCCATGGACGTTGGGGTTATGTGGTATATGCCTAAAATGCAAGTTATTAGGCCATCAGGACATCCCCAAAATCTTGACCTTGTAAAGAATAGTTGATCTAGCAGATACAGAAATGTTGATGTTTCATCCATGTTGGTTTAAAAGTTGAGATTGAAAGTTCATGCTTGACCTTTAGAAACAGTAGTTTCCCCCTGAAACAAGACTTACAGTAGGGCTTTACTAACCTTTATTACCGCTACTTACTTATTATGTTCTTGATTAAAAGTTTGGTCAATAAAATGTCACAAAATGGTGAAAACTTCCCGGCGCTCAAAGTAACATCTTCAAATTGCTTGTTTTGTCCGACACAACAATGACATGACATTACAATGATATAAAACAGAGGAAATAAAAGAATCCTCATATTTGAGAAGCTGGAACTATTTTGCATTTTTGCTTTAATAAATGACTCAAAAAATGAGTTCTTATCAGAGTAGTTGCAGATACATTTTCTGTCCATCAGCTAACTGATTTATTGATTAATAATTACAGCTGAAGCCATATGATGGTAAAGGCTTTCTGGGATCTTGGAAGTTTAATTTCATGCCATATAGTGATATTTGATCTCATTGGATTAATTCCTGAAAGCAGCTTTCCCAGAGCAAATGTTATTTGTGGTCAATTGGAAATAGTTTATTGTTAATAATTATTGACTGTTCCACTATAGCAGTGTAGTTGATAGTACAGTACTTTAGTCTCGTGCATCATGCATTTGCTAAAACTATTCCTTTATTTCACTTTCTCTCATGTTTCCTTTGTATTTTTCTCTCAGCGTGGAGGTGGACACAGACCCAAGAGCAGCATATTTCCGCCAGGCAGAGAACGGCATGTACATCCGAATGGCCCTGTTGGCTACTGTACTGGGCAGATAGATCCACATGCTGCATATTTGTAGCACAAATAGTCAAACCTTTACAATAATAAGTGTTAGACACCAGCATTTTCTTTCCTGAAAACTGTCCTTGAAAAGTGTTAGCAGAGTTAAATAAAATAGACTTAAACTGAGTCATAAAGTTACAAAGGTATATCACGCACATGATGCTGCTTTTCTTCAGTTTGAAAGACCACTACTTTGCTTTTCATTCATATCTCACCTGCAAAACTACTGTCTCATTACAGCAACTAGATATTAAAATGTCTTAAAACACAATTAACGTTTTCCATAAAACTGCTTCTTAACTAGAAATAATTTAGATGTAGCTGTATTTGGACCAGTGAGATTTTGTTTGTTTGTGATGGTTACAGACAATCAGTATTTGTGCATCCATGAGCCTGCTGGAGGAGCTGGGGAAGACTCCTTGGAAGAAAAAAGGGCATTGATGGTACTATGATGTGTGATATTATAAAAATAAATCTTTTGGTAAATGGGTCACATGTGCAGCCACTGTAACAAAGCTGCTGCACAGCTGTTTCCTCATCTACTCAGCTGTAGGTAATTTTAAAGGGACCAGTCAGGATATTATAAGTGAGAAAAGAGAAAACGACTGCCAGCAGTTTGGCGTAAGGGATTGCTCTATTCTGACCAATTGTGCCAATTATATTTACTGTGAGAAAAACCTGTTGTCATCTTTAACGTTCCTTTGCGTAAACGTGTAGCACCACTTGTCCTTGGTGGTTTAGGTGTATTGCTGTAACTGTCAGTAATTTCTTATACTGTTACAGTTTATATGCAAATGTTCTTTTTTTTAAATACAAATGGGGAATTTGTGTCATTTAAGTGAGTGGCTTTGTGATATGTAGAGAAATAAATAATAAAAGACTATTTTCCCTTTTGCAGCTGATATTGTCATTAATTACCCCAGCAACACACCACCAAATGTGGCACACATTCAGTAACCGTGATGACTCTTGACAAATCAGTCTGTCATCATCAACTTTCAGTTTTAGAGGCAAACCCCATTTACAGCTAGTCCAGGTTGTTCAGGTGTAACACAAAAATAAATATGAATATTTCCCTAATGTAAGTAATACTTTACTTTTACTTACTACTTTTATGTGTAACACACTCTTTCACTTAAGCCTTTAATTGAACTATGTATTATAACTCATCAGGCTCCTATGATGTAAAAACATGTCATTCACACTAGCAATTCAAACAAAAAATACTGCCTGTGTGAGAGGACAAAAAGGTCCTCACTGTTCACATCCAACATCTTTATATACAGAGTTTATGGTGAATTTCTGACAGCCATTCTAGAAAAACAGTCATTTGACATCAAATTAAATAAGTGAAAAAAAGAATAATACAAATACAAAAATTATTTGTTACCTTGGAAATAATAGTGAATGTAATTGAAAGGACAGGAAAACGCTAGTGAGTGATCTTTGAGTTAAGGTTATTGTGTCAAAAATAAAAGAGAAAACAATTTGTTGATGGACATATAGTCAAAGAAACGACATCCTTGTCTCTATAAAGCTGTTGATGGTTAAACATTTTATAACTTTAGGCTCTAAACTCTCATTATACTGAGCAACATAATAACCCGAGTTTAAATGAAAATTTGCATGTGATGATTTAAAAAAGTGGGGTTACAATAAATGCTGCATTCAAGAACTGTCAGAGAATTCAACATCAAATCTAATTCACAAAGGTGCATGAGTGACTCAGCAAAGCTCTAAATGTTGTGGTAAAATGTGATGAGATTAAAAGAACAGAAATAAGTAAATTATAAAGTTGGGCTACTGCTGAGATGTTGATGGGCCAGGTAGGATACACCTCATGGCTCATAATTCCCTAAACTTTCCTGTTATTGTCAGATATTATATGGAAACAATGTGCTGATCTGTTTTAACTGTTTGTTTAATCTTATATTTCCACGGATATCTGCAGATATACAGACTAATCTCCTCTTTAAAGTACTGAAATATACATCTTTTGGTGAGTAACTGAGTTAAAACAGTTCTTACTGCATCATGCACGCCCTTTTTTTTCTTCTTCCTCTATATTTTCCGCTGATGCATGTCAGCTCTGTGATAATTAATTTGTGAAATAAATAAACAGATTATTTGATTTTTTTAGCGAAGGTGCTTGAAAGGTGGATTTTGGACGAAACCTTGAAAGCAACATCCTTTTCCGTCTTCATTCCCTGGAAGGAGGAATCAGCCAATCACAGTTCGTGTCCTTAGGCAGCGCACGAAGAAGCGACCCGGCGGCCACGGCAGGCTATCGCTTCTCGGCTACCGGGCTAATATGAGCCTTTAAATTGAGAGTTAAGATATTAAACCGGATGCCTCTATGATCCAGCTAACCTTACAGCGAGATATACAGTGTTCAGTTTGCGCAAGGTAAGGCATTTCGGCTGTACTAAACCAGCTAGCAAGAGTTTAGCTAACCGTGGATAGCTGTGACGGTCACGTAAGCCAAACTGCATGCAGAAATGTGTCAATTTAAGGTTGACTTGTTTCACAAGAAAGGAAGCTTAACTTTATTAGCGAGAAACTATATACGATTATTTTAAACATCTCATACAACATTAGGAAGCACTTTTAGTTCGGACACATGTCAAAACACCATTTTAAACGCATTTTCACAAGTGTAACACTGCACAATTGGAGGGCGGTGGCAGCGAACAAACGTGAACGACTGCTAATGAGGACCTGTAACGTTACTTCTGTTTAAATAAATGCTGCATGCATGTGTTTGGTGCACGGTGAATCAGAAACTCCTAATCCAAAGTTTACAATGTTTTTGTTGCTCATACAAATAAGGATTCATTAAATTGCTAATGTTTAAATGCATCTTGGTGTATCTTTGTCTTCACGCTACTTCTAGCTAAGTTAGCAAGTCGCTTAATGTAACGGGCCAAGAGTACTATCCGGTGTTTTTATACATTTATTCATGTCATTCAAGTCTTGCATTACATTAAATACTCTTAGTATTGCAGTGTGGCAGTTAGGTTAACTAATAGCTAACTAGATATCGTGGCCAGCATGAGTTTTCTTTGGTTGATTAACAAAGCCAGAGAAACAACCTATGACATAACAAGGAGAAGCAAGGTTTATTAAGTGTAATTGTATAAATGTTCCCTGTAACATTTATTTTTGAATGACTGGCAGTGGAATAGAAAGTATTTCTCCATGTGCAGAGAGATTAGCAAAGGATTAGGGCTCCACAAGGACAAACAGACGACAATCCTACTTCCCCCATACCGGGACCTTTCTCCCAGACCAGCAGCATGTGGCTTGATCATAACTTTATCTTTAAGTCATCTGTCTGTTAAGTTATGCGTTTATTTTGTTAATACGGAAACAAATGTTGCATCATCTGACTTGCCAGAATCAGGTTCCTGTATTGCAGGCTGTATGTGTGCATGCTCCACCGATCTAATGACCTAATTATGGAAATGGAGGCTTTCCTGCCCTGAACTAAGTCTCTGAGGACCCTCTTATCTCCTAGCGTGTGTTGCCTGGAGCAAGTTTTGTCAATCAGACCTTTTAGGTTGTAAACGTTACTGTTACCTTGCTGTAAATCAGGACTTGGGATTTCCTATTTCTCTCTCAAAAAAAACAAAATGTTCCTGTGAGACAGAGATGCAATTTAGGAGATTTGGTGTCTGTTTTTGCAAACTCTAGTTCCTGACATGACTTTAAATGAACCTGCCTGACCCATAGATTGTATTAAGATTGGATGCATTTAGAGTGTGTGTGATGTGCCTGCACAGTCCAATCCATTTCATTATATAGCACATTTTAAAAAACAGGTTTACAGAGTGCTGCACAAGGAATTAAACGTCCAACACATATAAAAACATGAACAACACACAAACAAATGGTTCACAAACAATGCAAAGGCAACAACAAAAGACCACTCTGCTCTCACGTTGGGTTTAAATCCAGGGAATAAAAGTGAGTTTTCAGGATACAGGATTTAAAAGTTTTGAGGCTGGGGGCCATTTTGACCTGTGGAGGTAGCTCTTTCTATGTTTAGGAACTAGCCGGAGCTGACCAGTGGACCATAGTGACCTCAAGGGGGTGTAGACTTGTAAGAGGCCTCAGATATAACAAGGTGCCAACCCTTTTAGTGATTTAAAAAAAAAAACAACAATAAGATCTTAAAATGTATTCTAAAATGGACTGGGAACCAGTGGAGTGAGGCCAGGAGGATGGGTGTAATGTGTTCACGTCTTGCGAATTCCAGTTAAAAGACGTGTTACTAACTGCAGGTGTAAGAGCCAATGTAAAGTGCATTACAGTAGTCCAGACGGGTTAAGATAAAAGAATTAATCACATGCTCAAAAAGCTTGAAAAAACAGTTCATTTTCAGCATGACATGTTTGAAAAATGAATCCGTATGCAGATGCATTGAGGTGAGATGGTCAAACCTATGTTTTGATGTCGTAATCAGGCCTTTACTGCGGACAGTTGTTCTAAATTCTTCCAGCGCACATTAGCAGATTGAATGCAAAGCACATCAGGACCAGTGGCTTTCTTACTTTTGACTTACCACCTTTGACCATAATGCAGCATTACAGTTAGAGCCATGGTTGGGAGGCTCAATTTAGGGGGTAAAAAAATTCTCCTGGACAAATTCACCATATTATAGTACACCCACCTGTATATTTTTATAGAAAAATTTAACTTCTTACAATTTCTGAACAAGCAGAGGTATTATTTTGATTTTGCTTGTGCGACTCAATAAGAAATCCACTTATTCACCACAGCTTCACACACACTACCTCACACTTTTTGATGGCTGGCTTATAGTTTTTAATTGTCATACCTGCTACCTGATGGGTCCCTGCACATCCTCTTAAGCTGACTTCCCTGCCATTTCCACAACTGAACATGCTGCACCATGGTAAAATAGAGTGCAGCCTTTGTTATTGTAAATGTAACGCAGTTTCAACAGACACAACATTTATAACATTATGCCACATGTATGGGAAGTGATTAGCTAATACAACTATGTAATCATATAATGAAAAGGTGTTGACCAATGAGGCTGATACTGATGTTGAATATTTGAACACAAACGCCTACAATCTTGAGCCTTAAAGTAAATCTGTTTTTAATTTTTAAAGAATTTTGACCAAGTTGCATACTAAGAGACATTTCACATTTGAAAAATCAACTTGTCAGTTTACTCTGGTATAGCTATTTTGTAAGTCACTTCGGGGTGCGTGGCCTTTGCTGATGTGATAACAGAGTTAACATGTCACACACTGTAGAAAGTTGTTGTTATTTTTAACAATAAAGAGGGCTATTTTAAGAGAAGCAGTATTACAGTCTATCTTAAGAGTTGTCTTCTTCACTGAGTAATCATTTTCATGGGAGCTGTTGTCCCATGATCTTCCTAATTAGTCAATTTTTGACAAGCACCTTTTATCTCAAGCGACAAAAACTCCTTATGAGCGGCACAAAGTAGGACTCTGGTGTCTTTAGTTTACTTTGATGCTCTGTTCTAATAATAGACTAATCTTTTTCACTTTGCCACTTTTGGGCTACGTGAGATTGAGCAAGCTTGAAGATTGGGTATGACATTTTTATTTTTTTAATACATACATCTACAAAATGTTTATATAGAAATCATGATTAATTACAATTTTCTGCATGTCTGTCAGTTTTTGTTATAACGATCAATCTCACCCTAAATCCACACATACCGGTTCTCTGACTCCCTCCCATTTTGTTTTTGTCTCTCAGCTGACAGTCTTTCAGCTAAAATAAAATCATGGTGAAGATAAACATCTGCACTTCATTAAACAAAAGAGTCTCAGTCAAATGCTTGGAAAGGAAGACAAAGGACTCTTGTGTGTGTGTCTCTAGTTTTAGTGACTGTGCTCGGGCTAGTGTTGTGTTATGGTTCATTTTCATCTGTCCTGTTAACGTGATAAATGAGTACACACAGGGCAGTTTTTTTTAAGTCTGAACCACGACGACTGCAGTTAGCTAATTAACCTAATAGACCTGGCTCAGTGCTACTCGATCGATAGCTCCAGTATGATGGCGGTTTGATCAGTGCACACCTCCTGTTGGCAGCAGCCTGCCGATCTTGAAGGTTTAAAAAAAAAGTGTCTTAAGTCCTCGTCTATGAAGCTGCTCTCTCCTGCCTGACTGCCCCATGGTTTGTGTGGCACGTTTGAAGAATTTGGGGTATTTACATGAGCTTTCTTGGCGTCAGCAGGCACGCCATCTGGGCCTGCAGCGTTTTCCATGGTTCAAAATAATAATGGCCTTTTTGATCTCCTCCTTTTGCATGCTTTGTTCCAATCAAGAGCCAGACTGGATCTCTGTTCTGTTTTTGTGCACTTCACGCTATCATTTAGGATAGTTGATTGAAATCACACTGTCATAGCTGCAGGTTATTTTCTGTATTAATCAATTAATCATTTAGTCTTTAACGCCTTAACTTTGCAAAGCCGGAAACATTAAATGTTTGGAGGCTGAAGCTGAAGCATGACTAATTTGTGAATGGAAAATCTTAATGTGGGACAGTGAGAGACATGTTTTGCAGTGCAATTTGTAATATAATATTCCTCCAGCAGTCTTATCTTGCCGAGATTATGGTACCTTTCACACATTTACACACTAATACATTTTTACTTTATTTTACATACCAAAAAACCTTTATTATTATTAAACATCATTAGAAAATAGATTAATTCCAGCCTGTTTATTTTTTTCTTTTCAACTATTTTTGTTGCCATTTTAAACACTGTTATTTTATTCCATATTCCAGTCCTGCTAAATCACTGCATTGTAGATGTGAGTAAATATATATTTTATATTTCTTTCTGCCAAAACCAGAAATAGTGACTTGAATCTGTGACTTGGTAAGAGAATAAAATTAGGCTAACCTACAGTGCCCTCGTTTACAATTACAAATTTAAGCAGTGTGAAGCTTAGTTTTTGTTTTCACAACAGGAGGCTTTTATCTAATCCGATGAGAGACAATGGAATCAAAGCTGCTTTCTCTTGCACTGGTGCAGCGTTATTAAAAGTCATAAGGGGAGGGGGGGCAAAAGCGAGTAAAGCGAGGGTGATCATCAGCACTACCATCACTATTAACATTCACTGCATGCGGAAATGATTCTTCCAAAAGATGCCCTCAGGAAGGGGATTTTATTTTAGCAAGTAAAAATACTCTGACTCTCAAATGATTGTTGAGAACACAACAAATGATGTGAGAGCAGTTGCGAACACTTTGCTGTCCCTAAATGACCTATAACTCACTGAAAGTTCAAGATTATGCAGTGAAATTTGACAAACAAGATGCACCAAGTTCATGTTGAAAGTTAAGCTAGTTTCATCAGCACTGTCCATCCTGTTGCGGATCCGTTTACTTTATGTTCTCTGTAGCACCGTGAAACTTGCTACGGTTGCCGTGATCTTTCCTTTAAACCATTAGACCCCTGATCACCTTTTAATGGACAAAACAAAGCAATTTGAAAACGTTGATTTCGAACAACTTAACGATTAGTAGAATAAAATATTCAACAGATTCATTTAATTAAAATGGTTAGCTTCAGCTTTAAACCCATGCCATCCTCTGTCAATCCAACTGCAATCTTTAATAAACTAAGAACATTATCTCGAACATTGGGAGGGAGTATAAAACCAACAGTTAGTCATACTGCAAGGGGTGAAACATCTTACTCTACTATTTCTACTCTCAAAGAGCAGATGACTTTTGAAATGGTTAGCTCAGCAGAAATAACAAATGCCGTCTTCATACAGCTCTAGCATTAGCTGAGGGTCACTGTGTTTTGTAATCAAAGGTCATCTGAGTTTTTAATCCTCCTCAAATCTGCCCACTTTGTAATATCTAAAGTAATAAATCCAAAGCAAATTGCCTACCATATGCCAGAAAACATGCCTCATGTCTATTCCTGTGTGAATAGACATTAGTAGTTTGGAGTCATATTTTCTTTTCTTTTATATTTGTTGCTTTACTTTCAGGGATTTCCAGGATTTCCTGAGCTTGTTTCCTTTTTTTTTTTTTTTTTAGACTATTAAGCCATATGGAGGTTGCAGTTTGGGCTGTTTTTAAGGCTGCTTTTAGCAGCTTTTACAGTCTGATTTTCTCTGTCTATGCTTTTTCCACCCCATACTGTATCAGACACAGCAATGTAGATGTGTGGACACACTGATTAGTTTGTTGTGGTATGGGTATATGTTGCCTGCCCGGGACATTGGCACTCTCTGACATGGACTCACAGGGTTAATCTGTGAGATCAGCAAAATGTAATCTTCTTTGGTCAACGACCCGCACAGAATTATTTGTGCAGCTGTGTGTTTGAACAGTAGCCATAGTTAAATAGAAATCCCTTTTTTTTATATATTGTAAATTTAAAGCACTAATTCAAATCTCTTGAACACTAATAAACAAACAAACAAACATAAGGTAATTATGGATATAATTAAAAAGTGTTTTTTATTTGTACATCTTAACCCAAGACGTCCAACTATGCACCTCAAATCAGGTCTTGTTAAACATACTCTGTCTGTTGGCTTGCAGATCTTTGGTGAAGTCTGCAGTTTTCTCTAAGCTGGGTGTCACTGGGAAGTGTAGTGTCAAAACAGCTTACACACAAATGACTGAATGAACCAGCACTAATTCTACTAGCTCAAAGGCTAAAAGCATTTTTTCTTTTGTCACTCCACAGCTGTCTAAAACTTGTCTAATTAAAGTCAGTGCAGCAGTCATCGTTTTAATGTTGTGATATAATGAAAAGTAGTCCTACCTGTCAGTGATATGTTTCATTTTAAACTAAAAATGTTAGATTTTTTGGACTGATGGTCAGCAAAAAATAGACATTTGAAGATGTTGCCTTAGGCTTTCTGAACTTGTGATGAACATTTTTCACGTTCTTGACATTTTTATGGACTAGTTCATTAGTAAATAATTTGGTGGGGGGATAATCAACAGATTAGTCAATACATGTAGATGCCTGCCCTGGGCAGACAACAGTCAGGGCCTGCTGCTCAGTCTCAGATGAAACAGCTGTGAACCCTGCTCTGGTTTTAATTTAAAAAACTGACTGTAGCTTATATAGAGTGTGAGAAACAAGAGCTGTACCATCAGTGTCTGACACTTTGACTGTGGCTGTACCTGTGAAATGACAATAATTGCTCTAAAAATAAAATGTATATTTTATATTTCAAGTTGCAGGGTTCACATTCCTTATGATGCACGGAGCAATGATTTTTGTCTGTAGGGAAAACGTTTTTGTCAGAGCACACTCGTCAGGATTCTCACCTAACCACCATGGGGAAGAATGTCTTGTGCTGATTAAAATCTTGCTCGTCATGATGCTGTTCAGGCAATGCGGTAGGCTCATTAGTGACCCTACCTTCTACAACTGCAGTGCAATAGGTTTAAGCGGGCATTAACATTGTAATCCTGGCCTTTTGTTTACACGAGGAGGGAGAGGAAGAAGTCCACCTCTGTACCTTGTAGAGATGTCTTTCCTTCTTATGATTGTTCCTGATTATTTCGAAAGCATCTCAGCCTTGGGAAGAACCAATGATTGGCTAGTTGAGGTGCTTTACATTCTTTTTTTACCCCTGTTGTCATTAGTTTGCTGCTGCAGAAACACAATTTCCAGATACTTACTTAAAGTTTCAATTTAATTTTGGTCTGTCTTTTCTGAATAGCTTCTAGGCCCTTCAGCACATTGTACATTTCTGAAACCCCTTCTATACTGACTTGATGTGCTTACTTAAAAATAAAATACACAAGCCAGGCTGCTTCTTTAGTGCATTTGAAACAAATGCATGACAATAGGCTGCAATATTTGATCTCTTAAGACCTCAGTAACATGTCGTCATCATGTTTACATGATTTTTAACTTGGTGATATATATTTTTCGCCTAATAACAGAGGTGAGCCATGGCTGAACATAACCCCACACGTCCCCAAAGGAAGATGTCCACAGCTGGGGAGAGTGTGTACAAGGTTCTAGGCCTGGAGAAAGGAGCGTCAGCTGAGGACATCAAGAAAGCTTACAGGTAAGCAGTCTGAACATTCAGTAATCTGAATTGCTCTTAATAAAACGCCTCAATAGTTTCTTCAGACAGAATTAGCTTCTCCAGAGTAGGCAGGCTAACCATATTGGGTATTATTACGTGAGGCATTTGCCAAAGCCTTTACTTTAATTTGAATAATCCTGTTCCTGATTGTTTTGGCAAGTTCTCCCTTACAAGTGGTCAGATTACTCAAGTGCTGTTCAGAGACATTCCTCCACCACTCGTGTTGCTAAAGAGCACATTTATGATGGTGCGAGTGGAGACACGCTGACAATAAGAGCATGTGCTAATAAGCAACTAATGATGATTTTAATTATTATCAAAGTGGATATTCCTTAACTTAAGAAATTAATTTGTGTGTGTGTGTGTGTCAGAGCCAAATCTGACATGTTAATATTGCTTTTTTTTGTTTCAACCAACAGTCCAAAACTTAATGCCATTACATTTATGGCAAACCTTCATCTTTGAAAAGCTGAAACCAGTTTGACATATTTGCTTGATAGTTATTTAGTTGATCATCAGTTGTCAAAATTTTTAAATAGGGATGCAACCTGCGATTTATTTTTATTATCAGTTAATCTAGTGATTTCCTAAATTACTTACTTAAATTAATTACTTATTTGGTCTAGAAAATGTCGTAATATTGTGAAAAGTGCCCAAGATGATGATAACAGCTAACAGTCTAAAAACATTTACGAGAGACAAAAAAAGGCAGTTAGGAATCTTTGGTACTTTGCTATAAAAATTACTAAAACAATTATGATTAAGTGATTATGAAAAAAGTAGCTGCTTTAATTTTCTGTCAACCCTACATCAATATCAACATTCTGACTTTAACTGTTAGAAATTAATCTATGGTGTAGTCTGTCATGATAGCTGGAATTTGCACTGAAAAAGGGTTGCATGTAACCTTATCACCTCTGCTTCCTGTGTTTGAAGCTTGTTACATGTCACTTAGTTTGTTTGTTGTTTTTGAACTTGAAGCTAGAGTGCAGGACTCAAATAACACAAATAAAGGTCCATTACATTCAAGGTTTCATGAAACAATCCTGATTAAGCCAAACACCGCCAGGTAAATCTCCTATTTTGCAGTTTTTAAATCTGGTCTCTGTGTCTTCCCACACTGGTGAACCAGTAGGGATGTGGGTTTTTTTTGTTTTTTGTCAGCCAGCAATGATTGTTTTGCCCCGAGCTGAAGTGTGGAGTAACCGTAGCGACAGCAGCAACTTAGTATGGCAGAGCCTAAAGTTCATAAGCTTTTGTGTAGGTTTAAATACTGTCCATTAACAAATTAAGGTATGACGATCCTAAAAACTAAAATATTTTCCTCTTGTACGTGCTTCACTTTGCTTTATTTGATTTCCCGTGTGCTCTTCTCTCCTGTCAGGAAGCTAGCACTGAAGTACCACCCAGACAAGAACCCGGACAACCCGGAGGCAGCGGAGAAGTTCAAGGAAATTAACAACGCCAACTCTATCTTAAATGATGAGACCAAGAGGAAGATCTACGATGAGTATGGCTCCATGGGCCTGTACGTGTCAGAGCAGTTTGGAGAGGAGAGCGTTAAATATTACTTCCTCATGTCCAAATGGTGGTTTAAGGTTGGTGCATTGGTTTGATTTCAATCTATATGGATTTTAAAGGTGACACTTTGTGCTACATTTGATAATTTTGTTTCAGTTACTTTGGTTAAGTGCTTTTTGTACACTGTCGGTGTAATATTGATCAATTCTACAGCGAGAAACTATTGTTAGCTTCCAAATGTTAATTTGGGAAGACACTGCCACAATATATTTTTGTATTTGTATCATTTGTTTTTTATTTTTGTCTATTTGTAGAGCCTTAATGTGTTCACATAACATGTGCTTAACACAATAACATCAACACCTGTACAATCTAATGCAATCGACTGCAATAGGCCACCAATAAATGTGCCAGATACCATCGTTTAGGCAAAGTTTATTGTGCTATATTTCACTACAGGGTGGTTCTGTCTTTTTGTGTGCGCCCTTCACACAAAGTGGCTGTTTATTTCCTTTAAAATTTGTTTTCCTAAAATGAAGTGAAACATTTCCAAGGCAAATTTCTGGCTCTTGGGTCTGAATCAGATTACTAAATTTGAATAGGTTTATTTTACTCACTTATACTGGGTCAAAAACATTTATTACTGTTGTAGACTACGATTTCAAAAGTACCTTCCACTTGTTTTCACACATGCGTCCTAAAATATTCCATGCAGACAATTATACAAAAACCTATATTTCTAGTCTGTTTTACAGGATTAAATAAACAAAATTTCGTAACATTAATAATTCAGAGATAAAAACAGCTCTTCCTGTTTGCAGTCATATGGCTGGATGTTGTTTTAAAAGTTGGATCTGTTTGCTTGTTCACTCCTGCAGGGTCTGGTACTGTGCTGTACTATGTTCACCTGCTGCTGCTGTTGCTGCTGCTGTTGTTTCTGCTGTGGGAAATGTAAACCACCTGACGATGATGAAAACTACCAGTATGTCGACCCTGAAGACCTGGAGGCCCAAATCAAAGCAGAGCAGGATGGAGGTGAGCGGCTGGTTAACTTAGTTATGGTTGAACTGTTAAACGACTTTTAAATTACTTTTGTACATTGGTGTAACAGATGTGCAGGTCAGGAACGCTGATGTTCTTCCTAGTTGGTGCGTATTATATTGCGTAATTCTGCTTTGTGAGTGCCTACTGTACATCCAGGAGACATTATCGGCTCCCACAAGGCAGCAAAATGAACCACCTCCCATTATCCGAATAACATTCACATTGGATCATAGATTGACACATGCAGGGTATGAGGTCCTTTAACTGTAATGCATTTAATACACCTTATACTTCATCCATTAACCATAGTGCAGTTGTTGTCATGTACAATATGAAAAGACTAAAAACCCTTTTCCTATACTTAAAATGTACACATTATTTCATGTGAATTGATGGCTTTAGTTTTAAAGTATGAACCGTTTGTTACTTGACAAAATCACTGGGGATGCACCGGAATGAAAATTGTTGGCCGAGGCCAAAATCAAATATAATGAAAAACTTTGCCGAATCCCGAACAAGGTTTTTCACATTTTTTGTGAGAAAATGACGTTTCAGTGGATTTACCATAAAGGCTTGAATACGTGTGCGCTCCAAATTTAGGTGCGGCTAGCTTAATTGCCTTCTCAGAAACGAGTGACAGAAACAGTCAAAGCGGGTCAGACCGTTTGTTGCCTTTTTTTTAAGAAATCAGCCACAGATGGAGTGGATGTGCTAGGAGACAATTCAGCAGAACAGTGTCTGCAAATGGCGATTTTTGCATCTTTCTCGGACACTTTAAAATGCTTCCACACTGCCGATATGTCAACGTAATTGTTCAGTAAAATCTATTCGGTTTTTTGACATATATGGGCGAATACCGAAAGTGCTTTTTTTTGGGGGCGGCTATTTTCGCCCGATTAACTTTCGTTGCCGAACGTTTGGTGCATCCCTACTTAATCTTGATCCATTAACCATAGTGCAGTTGTTGCAATCAGAAAATACTAAACAATGCCTTTTTCCTATAATTAAACATGAAAACTTTATTTCATGTGAATTAATGGGCTTAGTTGTAAAGTATGAACCGTTTGTTACTTCATAAAATCACACACAGTGAACATTTGCATGTAATCATGTATTGTTTCTTCAATTTTATTATGGTCACTGTTGAACTCTGCGGTCAGATCAATCCGTTCAACACGCTGTGAGAACAGAGTGGAGGGTCACTTCTCTAAGAGGGAGAGAATAAGGCCATTTGTAGCATTGTTTTGAAAACAAGGGTGCGAACTCAATAGATTACGGAAAATGTGCGACAGTTACTCAGAGACCTGAGTAAAAAGAAAAACAATCATAGTCAGACAAAATAACAGGACAAATGAATAATCAGACAAACGTACAGCATCAGTGACAATCACAGAAATCACTAAATAGATTCAAAGTTTAAAGTCAGCCAGATTCACTTGTGACATTCAAGTTTTAAAATCTCATGTAATTCATTCCAGTGGTATTTATTCGAGGGATAACTAGAGTTAAATAGTCCTGAGATCTGGTTTGGTGAGCTGTGGGGGTTTTTTTTTTGTTTTTTTTTATTTGAAAGGAGAAGTGAAATATGGCGACAGCTTTTGCAGGAGACCTTTTTTATAAATAAAAATGATAGAATATAGTTCTCCTCTTTTTGCTAGTGAGGACCGGACTACTTTTTCAAATAGTACACTATGATGAGTACGATATTTATCTCCTGCAATGAAACACAATGACAAACTGAAAGTTGTTTTTAAGGTGGAGCAAGCAGCGTGAGAATAAAGGATATCTCCATTGTCAAGCACAGACATGATGGTTTTCCTCTCATCAAGACAAATAGGCTTTATTCTTATGTAAGACTGCCATTTTTAGTTTCTGTGCCAGTTGCTCCACATGCTGTTAAGAAGTGAGACAAATGTCGAACTGTCTCATTGGACAATTTCTTGCTTTAAATCCAGTAAAACCGCAGTAGCTTGAATTCAAGGCCATTAATGCTGAAACGGTGTCTGTAGGAAAATTAGTGTTGAACGTAAAAACTAACCAACCCAAATGCCTTCTGTTGCTTCACCAGTGAATTTAACATGCTCTCACGCCACAGGATTCGTGTTTTCATGCTCCCATCCAACAGGTTACACAGTAATCATAAGCCAGCCAACATCTAATCTGGGTCCAGAAAGCCCAGAAGGCCAGAGTCAGCCCATCCCCCTGCCAATGCCCATGCCTCCACCTGAGCCCCAGTTGTCGACCTCGGCCAGTCCAGCAGGGGAAGAAAACCCTGGAGAGACCTTACCAGAGTCAAAATGACTCGTAAGAGCCACCTCGTCTGATTTATGTATCAGGCCGTCGTACATCCGTCTTGTCTTGTATGAGAAGTTGTTTTCATCCTTGGTGTTGCCAGTCCATGCTTTTCAGCTGCCTGCCTTTACATGGCTCATCACTGCTCCCTCACTCATCCATAACAAATACCCTGTGCTGTCCAATTACCACTCTCACGCATATTTACTGCAACGCTCTACGTGCATGTTTTTTTTTTTTTTTTTTTTAAGCTGTCCATATGCTTGTTGTTGTTACATTAAGGCACCGTACTGTCAGAAAATATGCATGGCTGAATTAATTACTGTAGCTTCAACCTTTTATGCTGTACTGTTACCTATATTGTCATCATCTTGTGCTTACCTCTTGTGTTTGATACTTAAATAGTCAGACAGGAAATTCTTACTACCATGCAGAGAACTGAGGAAGCCATTCAAATGAAACGTATAGCATTAAGTCAGTATTGTATTCCTGAGATTAGATTTCAAATGGAAATACAAAAATGTTTCTTTGTGGACAGTTTCTTTGCACTGCATGTCCTCTCCTAATCGGTCTGCATAGCCAAAAAATAACAGACGTGCAATTTAATTTACTGTTGATGTTCTTTCTTTTTTGCCAATTTACAGTTTAGAACCGAAGCTGTTTTTATCAGAAATAGTGAGGTTTTTATTGTGGTCTGGACTGTAAAGGTTTTGAAATTAGCTTTCTCAAACCTGCAGATACTCTGAATGAAATTTTTTTTTCTCAGAACTGTGTTTAAAGATGTTATGACTAATTTGACTGAAACTTTGTTGTCATCCCACAGGAAAGTGACGGTGTGAATGAGCCTCAGTTAGTGGAAGCAGGTAAGATGCTGAAGTTAGCACTTGTGTCTGCGGCTGATTACTGAATACAGTTGCTGTTTATCTCAGTTTGACCTATACTTCTTTTCCTCTTTAGCCTTTCGAGCCCCTATTATGATCCAGCCACATTTGACTGCTGCCAGCGACGTAGAGATCAACCAGCCCAAAGCCACCAGCCAGCCCAGGCAGACACTTCAATCCTGATTCCTTCAACCTACCTGATCTACCCACTGGACAACACCTGCAAGGTGGGCACTTAAAGGCTCTTGGCCCCCTCCATGGAACTCAAGTTATGGAGGAGCCTACATGCAAATTAACCCACTAGCTTGGCTCTGCAAAATTTTAGTCCCCTTTCTTGTTCCAGCTTGCCACATACTATATAGCCTAGCCTGGGCTAGATGTGATCTTGTTAGCAGTTCAGTCATTCAGGGCTAGGCTTGGCAACATGCCTGGGCTCCACTAATCTGTTCCTGTCATCCCATTACAACCAGTAAGGATGTGACACTGGGCAGGAAGATTGCAAAAACAGGGGCATACGAAGGCAAAAAACATGGTCCTCACAATTAATCTGCTATCCAGACCAGGACAGGAATGATTGTTTTTTGTCTCTCTGCCCAACTCTCCCCGTCTACCTCCATTTTGGACACCGCTGGTCACCAAGAGGACTTTTCTTTTTCACATTTCTCCCTCTTTAACTTGTTTTGGAGTTGTCTTTCAAAAATAAAAACAACAAGGCTTTTTGGGTCAATAACTCCTGCATGGAACTGGATGCCAGGTGTGGTGTGTACACATCAGAAGCAAACAGCACGATGGTGTGGGTGTGGGGAACCTTTTTTTTATTTTATTTTTTTTATCCCTCTTCTTCCTTCTCCTTCAATCTTGTTTTTAACAATCGCATTCAGTTAAATGCATTACCCCCCTCTCTGATGTCCATCCTTTAAATACGCTCTTGCTGCCAAGTGTGGTGACAAAAAAATATTCTTTCAAAGGAAGCAGGAGCACTAACGGTCGCTTCACAGAGCAAAGCTCTCAATCGGGACACAACTACATTTCACATGAATACACCAATGTGAAGGGGGAGGGAGGAGAGCGAACAGAAGTGACCGTGGAACTGACATTCACAGATTTTGTCTTTGATGTTCAATGTCTGAGCCAAAACCTGGAGCTGAAGATTTAGAGCATGGATCAGGAGTGAAGCTGAGGCTGCCCTCCCCAGAACAGCATGTATTGTTTTTTCCCGGATGCATGCCCCCTACTGTACAGCACTGGAATACAGTACGCAGCCCAAACCACAAAACGTGAAAGAACAGCCTAGCCTAACCATACAGACGTACAGACTCTGGTTACACACACTAATGTAGAAACAAACACTGTAGTATGTCATCGTGTACCAACATCTGCTAAAAATATACAACCCCCAGCATAACCTATTAACTGAAATGGACAATGACGGATGCCACACCGTGGAAACTTTTTATTTTTAAATTGAATCATGATTTTTTTCAGATCATTGCACTCCTTGTTGTGTTGTAGTCATCGCACTATTTGGTAGACCAAAGGCAACAGCTCCATGTAGCCTGCCAACCAACGATGACTCTGGTCGAGGCAGACAGTCTCTGAAAATGCCATTTGCTCTGTAAGCCACAGTTCCGTTTGTCAAAGTTGTTTGTATAATATGCATTTGGGTCTATGCACCTTGTGAAGTGGGTCTGTTGCTATTTCATATGGTTTTGTTTTTTTGCCTCTGTTCAAGTTGAAAATCTTTTGTTGTACCTCTTATTTCTAAAACTACAGAAACCATTAACTTTAAAGCTTGATAATCTACAAACTCGGGTCCAGATTCACTAAGACTGCATTGTAAGGACAATCTTCTGATTTTACTGCACCTCAGTTACCTGACTCCGTTTTCACTTTTCATTGACTTGACTTGAAAAGAGCACAGAGCAATCGATCAACTCTTTACTAGACTTTTCGGGCACTCTTATTTTACAGGACTAATCCATTAAGTCCTGCATCTTTTCACCATAAATCAGCTTAGTCTTGAGTTTCTAAGAAAACTCTTTCACCTGCTCCCTGACAGTGATGTGCCTTGAACAATAATTTGACCTGTGACTGAAAAAACTCTTGATGCAACATTTAAATGTCTCACGTACGTATGCGAGAGTATTGTGTTGGTGTCTTGTTTAGCGTGACTTCACTTATAAATAAAGTTGGGGGGTGAGACAGGTACATGGCCATGACTGGTGAAAAGAGGCGATTTTCATTTGTTCTGCACCGTAGCTTTTCTCACTGTATTTTTGTGATTTTTCATCGCTCTGTCATTTGGTCATGTATTATTGCTCTTTCCTGTGCAAACCTTCAGTGAATCTGGACCAGTGTTGTTGTTTCACCTGCACCGAACTGTATGTTTACCACAGCGACCAGAGGTCTTTTGAGATGATCCTGACTTTAGCGAAAAACGTTGATACACTTGGTCTAAAACACATTTTCACTTTTTTAAGTCCCATTTTCCTTTCGCTGGACATGCTCACTCAAGGTTTTAGACCACTCTTTTGTTTGTTTAACATTTTCCCTTTGGAACTTAGTCAAGATAGAAAGGAGCATTTGCCCATCAAAACAGTTTTGTCTACATGGTCAAACGTTAAGCTGCAGCTAACAATCATTTTATCCCTTTGTCTGTATAATGTCAGAAAATAGTAAAAATGGCCATCACAGTGTCCCAGAAGGAAAGGTGACATTTTCAAATGTCTGCTTTTTGGACAGTCTGTTGGACATAAACAAAGACATTTAGTTACTATCGTGTAAGACAGAGAAAAGCAGCGAATCATCACATTTGCTTGAAACAAAGTAGAATTTTTGCTTGATAAATGACTCAAATGATTACTCAGTTAATTTTCTGTTTCTGCTCTTACATTAGGACACTAGAGGTTCTTGATTGAGTTACTGCCCCAATCACAAGAAAGCTGTTGTCAGGATTTAAGTTGGTGCAGCACTGTGCTGAATTTTGTGGGGACTGATCTGTCTGTATAAAGGGCTATTAAGAGTGGTGACAGGTTGTGTTAATCTAATTAGTTAGCTGCTCAAATCGTGGCTGTGTTCCATGTACATTCAGAAGTCAACCCTGGTGTGGTCCAGCTCAAAAGGAAAAGTGGATTTGTTTCCCCTCTAACCACTAAATATACCGTTCACCCTGCGAACTGTACTGAGTATTGTTTACTCTAGTTTTCCACTTCTTAACCACACAGGTGCTTTGATAGATGTAACACACTTCTTCTGGAACGTGAGGATTATTAATCTTGTAACATAATTCTGGTGAGCATTTGTGCCAGAATACATTGTCTGCCACTTTAACATTACATAACACATAAATCTGCAGGTTTTTTGTTTGTTTGTTTACATTCAAAGCTTCTCAAAGCTTTTCAAATGAAGCTTTGAATGCCTGTCATCATATTTTATGACGTCATCACCCTATTCGATTGTCAACAATATAAACGAAGCTTCGAACTATTCGGTACTACCCTACATGGACACCGAAACATTCTCATGTCTACCTAACTACAGTAAAAATGTTAAGCCAAATCTACCTGGGTTTTTTAAAGGAATAGTTTAACATTTTTGGGAAAAAAGCTAGGCTAGCTGTTTTCCCCTGTTTCCAGACGTTGTGCTAAGCTAACCATCTGCTGGCTGAAGCTTCATATTTACTGTACAGACATGAGTGATCAATTTTCTCATCTAACTCTCAGCATGAAAGCATATTTCCAAAAATGTTCAACTATTCCTTTAAACTTATTTAGACTTATTTGAGTAGAACAAAACATTTTTTAAATGCTTGAAATGAAATAAACATTTGCGATTGTTTACTTTAGTCATTTGGATGTCAAAAGGTTGATGTGCTGTGGAGAATGATTGCCTAGTGCAGAGTACTGTTGCTTGTAGGTGAATTTTTGCAACTTTTAAATAATTTTCTCCCTTTCTGGTGGCAGGGTTGTTTTTCTCCCACAGTAAATAAACGCCATAGTGTGTCTGTGTATGAAGCTGAGGTAGATGTAAAGTAGGGACACAACACTACAGTTAAACTTTTCTCACAGCTTCTAAAACTCCTCAATATTGCCTGGTGAACTGCAATAAACTAATTTAGAACTACACTAGATGTAGGACCAGCAACCAAGGTCTTTGTTTCATTTTGTGGATTGCAAAAAGTTCATAAACCAGCTTAGATATCTCCATCACTTTATTTTGGCCCTGTCGTTGATGGATTACATATCATCTTGTATTTCTCAGAGGAACTTGACGGTCATCACTTCATCTCAATTTTTTTTTAACCATCGAAAGCCAAAACCTTTTTTTTTTTTTTTAAGTGTCCCATAACATTTCAGGAATAATTATGTTTTGTCTTTCTCCAGATCTTCTGTAATCAAATCACTTAAGTGTAAAAGCGACGAGGTCATGGAGCACTGAAAGAGAGACATATTATTTATTATTTTTGTAATTGTTGTAATAACTCATTAAACAGAAAAATAACTGACAAAATTCCTTATTGTTAATGGACATCTTTTATGAATTAATGTCTGTTTTAACAGTGTACATACATTTTTATTTTATTTTTTATTGTCACATAATTTAAACTTAACATTTCTAACGGGGGTTCTGGTGGGGGTCAACTTGCGTGTTAAATGAGCAGCTCAGACTCAAGTTATTTGTGTTTGTACTTTAAAATACTGGCTTAAATGCTCCATGCTAACCTGTTAGCATACACTGTGTTTAGCAATACAAACTACACGCTTATGTATGCTAAAACAGTTAGCGTGGAAGTAACGTTCTTCCAGGGACAGACGGATGATTTGATTATTCTAATTACTCGGTCGACCAGTGGGACAATCTGCCAAAATTGCTCCATTTCTTTTAAATGTGAGAAGAAAATATTATATTGAACTTGGAGTAGAAGAACATGACAAACACATTTTATTAATGTAGATAAAGTTTTTTTTGGGGTTGGGGGGGTGTGTCACTCACTGTTGTGGTTCCATGTAGATGATCTGTAAATGAGTTGTTATGAAATTCAACCAAATAAAAAAGGGGGATTTTATAACTTCCTGTCTCTTTGTTTGTCTTGTGTTTGATCTTGCATGTGAAGTTTTGTCATATTGTTAAGCATTTTTACTGCATTTACTTTCAAACATTAAATAAGTTTGGTGGTGTTTTAAGTTAATGTATTGAATAGGTCTCATGAAAAGACCACAACCAGCAAAATCTTAGTTCGTGTGGCACTCAGCTGCAAGCCCATTTTTTCCTTCTGAAGACATAAATCTTTCAAAACGGGTCACAAATATATAGTTTCATTCAGTAATTTCCTAAAACAGCTGGCCACTGTATCATCATATCACCAATTTCAATCACATAACCTCATAACATAATAATTTACACTTATTGCTTTCATAATATAATTAAAGCAGAAAAAAAGTCATCACTCTTTGTTGTGTTTGATTCTAAATCTGGTTGAAGCTTCATATTTACTGTACAGACGAGAGTTATATCAATCTTCTCATCTAACTCTCAGCAAGAAACTAAAAAAAGCGTTCTTCCCAAAATCCCCCCAAGTTGTTTTTTTTTTTTTAAATGCTTGGTAAATCAGACAGAGAATGATTGCCTAGTGTAGAGACGGTGTTGCTTGTACATTAGGTGACTTTTTGTACTTTTTAAACAATGTAAATAAATGCCATAGTGTGTCTGTGTATGAAGCTGAGGTAGATGTAAAGTAGGGACACAACACTACAGTTATTTTCTCACAGCTTCTAAAACTCCTCAGTATTGCCTGGTAAACTGCAGTAAACTAATGTAGAACTACACTACATGTAGGACCAGCAACCAAGGTCTTTGTTTCATTTTGTATTGCATTTACTCATACATATTAATGACCAACATCTTAGTCAGCTGGCCAATGTAGTTTTTGCCAAATGTACTCAAACAAGAGTAAATAGTGCATTTGTTGGACTATTTTTAGGGCGGATTAATCCATATTTAGTGCTCTGCTGAGTATTTGGGGCAGCAGGATGGTGTATGTGGGACTGAGTCAAAGTAAACAACAGTGATTAATAAAGGAATAGTGCTAATTCCTTTGAGCCATAGAGCACAGGCAGTACTTGTTAGTAGGATCAATTCATTGTTGGTGTTTGGTCTTTCCATTGGATTTGTTGACAGAATATCACCTTTTAAGCTGGACAGCCTGAACTGATGCACAATGATTACCCGAAACCATAAAAATGAAGCTGTTAATAGAGAGGCGTGAATAGGTGTGTGTTGCTAACTGCAGCAGTCCTGCACTCCAAAGCCTATAAATAGACTAATAATCCTATTAATAGTTTAGTCTCCTTAGCCAGCTCCATTTTGTTGATTAGCAAATACCTTGTGTGTTTGGTCGCAAGGAACTGACCTCATTGCTATCTACTCGCTTCACAGGAAGCTGATGAAAGGGCAGGAGAAAGTGTTTCTGGGTGGAGGTGATTATGGGCAGACCAATGTTTACATTTAAAATAGAATCTGGTGTAGACTGATAGGGTGCATATAATTCAGTTTTATGACGTATTTACTGCGTAATTACTGTTTTACAAGACAATTTTCTAGCTTGACCTTTAAACACTAGTCAAATGTTTTGATAATATTGTAAATTATTGCTTGAATTTATTTCTGGTCTGAATCCCTGAAAAACTTGCATTAATCTATTCATTCATTACCTCTGTCATGAAGGAAATGTATTTTTTCCCATTCGTTAAGGTTTAAGTTTCCTTTTTAGTATATTTGGTGGAAAGTTGAAAGTTAGGCCACAAGACAGAAAACAGGATTGTTTTTTTGGTGTTGCTCTAAAAGGTTTAGGATTAAGATAAGACATTTTTACTACACTTTTAATGGAGAAATTGCAATTAAAATTTAATTGCAGGTCTATATATTTGAAATACCAGTTTCAACATTGATTTAGACATTCACTAAATACAATATTTCTCCTAATCCCATTAAATAAATTAGGAAAACCGTAGATGTTGTACATGATTCAAATAAATGTTCTCTGAATTCTAATTGAATGTTTTCTTTGAGTATTTTTTGTTTTGAGAACCACCATGGCCGGCATTTCCATTCAGCTTTAGCCTAATCTTAGGATCTAGTTACTAACAGGCTCTCTTTCTCTGTTTTATTTTCATACTGCTGCTTCTGGCTTGATGACTCAATCAAACACACTTCACATTTTATATTTAGCATGTCCCTAGTGAGATGTATAGATGCCCAATCTTTATAAATACATTTGATTAATGTTTAGCTTGTCCTTTGTAAAGTTGTCTCTCCACAAGGAGGTCAGGGATCACCAACATAACATTAGCATTATTCATAAGCCTGTGCTCTGATTGACTGGCTTTATTACAGATACCACTCCTGTGACAGTTAGGAAAGCTGTTTAACAAGACAGGCTTGTTTTAGAGCAAGAAACTTTAAGAGTGAGGTTGCTTTACAGGGAAACACAAAATATTTAAATATATAAAACTTTATATTGTTTTGTAGGGAACAATATAAACAGGAAAACTTATACAGTACAAAGGGTGTGTGATGTGGTGACTGTGACCGGGGGAATCTTGTTTATTTATTTGAACTATTTTGAAAAGAATTGCCTTGTTTTTTGTCTGATATGTACAAAAATGAGTAGACCGTAAGGACTCAACTAGGTCTTACTTTTATATTAGAAAGTGAAGCGGTTAGTCTAATCGTAACTTTAAGTTGATTGTCTTTTGACTCACTGAAATCATGACAATTTGATTATGTGTTATCATTTTATGAAATTATGATTCCATGCGAATTTTTAAACACAAGCAAATTGAGTCACTGAAGTTTTACTTTCAAACCAGTTAAGTTGTGTCAAATGTAAGCCTAATATAAGAATTTAACTAAATAATAATAAGTGTGGTAAACATATTATAAGTATTGTTTTCAAGCATATCCTCCAGCCCTGATAGAAGCTAATGCCCCCAAAACCTGGATAAACCTGGATAAAAACCGAAGAAATAGATGTAGCTTTTGTAACTGATAACATGATATTGCAAACACATTAGCTTGACTTCAGTTATGCATAATCATAAAGAGATTTGTTTTCTTTATTGGTTCTTGGTTGGCCAACAAGACACATTTTACAAACAAACTAAGCAGATACTACCAGCTAGGCTCTAGACTAACACTATCTGAATGCAAAATCAATCCGATTGATCAGTTTTTCATCAAAGAAACACTACAGAAACTTACTGTGTGCTAAACATTATTGGAACAAACAGTAAAGTCTAACACAGTCCATTGAACTGAACATTAATCGGATAGTTTTGTTATGTTATGTGACTTTGAATACATCTTATCATATATCATATTATTGATTTCAACCACATTATAATATAATAATAATAATAATAATTTTTATTTATAGAGCACTTTTCTAAACAATGTTACAAAGTGCTTTCACAAGAGCAAAGACAATGAAACACCTCAAACAAATAAGATACGCAGTAAAAGCAGGAAGAAACTTAAGAAAATAAAAGTAGTTAAAAGAAAAAAAAAAATTATCACTAACCATCATTCTTTGTTGCTTCATTCTATATGTATTTTTCTTTGAGAACATTATGTCTGAATGTAGTTAGTTTTTACTCAATGCTAAAACACATTAGCTTAAGCTCAGTTTACATAAACAAATAAGTTATTTTTAAGTTTGTAAGCTTAGAAACAAGCCAGAAAACTAATTTAGCAAATCAACCAATATCATAAGAGATAAGCTAATACTAGCTATATAGTTTTGACTTGACTAATCAGACTAAAGGAGATGTTAAGGAGAAAATAGCTAGGTTTTATATAATAAGTTGCATCTGTTTTTCACCATTGTCCTGTGTAGCGAATCCTGTTGTGACAACTAGATGTCTGAGTTGAGAAATGGAGCTAGTTGTTTATGCCGAAGTGCTAATGAACCCAAACATGGTGGCCATAGCTTATGTCACCAAGATGACCCCTTCTTAAGTATCAGACTTCATAAAAACATTATCATTTGAACCCTGATACTGACCACTGTTCTAATCCTCTGCCACGCCCAGACTTTTCAGTGCCCCAGCTGGGAAAATCAGTTTAGAAAGTAACCCAAGCCAGAACAAACTGAGGAGCTAAAAATATCAGCAGTCAACAGTCCGGCTGCTGTGGGACTGAGACAGAGATAGGGGTTAGACAGGCTGGCAGGGGGGTAAAGGGATGGACAGCTGGGGAAAGAGACACTGTGAGAGCTAGAACAGAAGACGGAGAGAAAATACGACTAAAAACCCCATCAACGCCATTTTTTTAGGGTAAAATGCTAGAAATCTACTTCTGGATATAGACCTGTGGGGATATTGAATTGAATTCAAGAAGAAAGATCTAGAAAATCCGCCCATCTTGTGTTTCTCTGCTACTTAACCTCTTCTGTCTTCGTTGACATTTTACTCACCGCCTCTGGACATGATGAACTTGGCTCTCGGCTATAAGCCTCCGTCAGCAGGCAGTTCTGGGCCTGGCGCTGGCAGAGGAGCCACCATGGATAACCTAGAGAAGCAGCTGATCTGCCCAGTCTGCCTGGAGATGTTCTCCAAACCCGTGGTCATCCTGCCCTGCCAGCACAACCTTTGCCGCAAGTGTGCCAACGACATCTTCCAGGTGAGATTGCGTCTGTCTTACAGGGTTACAGCTTGGTTAATTTGAACATTTTCATGCAAACAAATTTCAAGCACCCATGATTATTTCAAATTGATGTGGTATTTTAATGATTGCAAATGAACAGAATCGTCCACCAAAAATCTACACACCTCTGAAAAGTCTGTAGCTTGCTCCAAAACTTGTCGATAGCTTGGGAATGAAAGCTAAATGCAGGTTACAATATATTCCAACAGGAATGTATGTTCAGTGCAAACAAGTTTTATCATAATGTCTCTTTTAACCTGTTAAACCAATCCTGCCACAGAATCCATTTCCATGCTCTATTTCCATGTCCTCAGTGTTTTCTGAACTTTCATTTGACACCTCTTTCCCCACAACAAGTTTTAAAAA